GACCTTATCTTTGCACTAGAACAAGAGACCAGACCGAGTTGCGCCAGCAACTCTTTGTATGTCGTCTGAATACAGCTAATTAGGAGCAGCGCTTTCATGGCGTCCACCTTGTTAGTTGTCTCCATCAGCGCCATAACATAGAGGGTCGGAGAGACGGTGGCCTCTTCGTCATCGGTATCAGACAAAATTACATGTCAGTCTCTTAGTGACATACAGTCGTTGCGTTCTTTAGAGAATCCGTTTTGCTTGCATTGCTACGGTCGTACGAGGCTGCATGGCAGCGACGCCTAGCGGCACGACATGAAGCTTTACGACCGACTTGTTTAGAGTGAGATGTGACGCCTGCCCGGACTGTGTAGAGCGAAGAAAGACATCAGCTCCCCCTGCTATCGCTTTCTGGCTGACCGTGATAATCCTCTTGTTTGGGGCTGCTCGATATTGAAACCAAAGTGGCAAGATTGAAGGCCAAAACGAACATAAAGCTAACTGCACCAGTATCTCAAGCTCGCGCTTATAAACCGGTGCCACCATGTTTCAAACAACTCCTCATATATTCTTAGCGGAGGAACCTCGGGCTACAGGAATGTTCCTGAAATAAGGCTCAGAGGGTGATGGGCGTGCGGCATTGCCGAGCTAATTTATCAAAAAGAATTCTCAGGCAAGACGCCCTGTTAGAAGCAGTGATTGGCTTCAACGTGGCCTTTTAACGGTGGGCCATTTCGGACGTACATTCCCTTCGATGGGAAATTTCCAGAACGCTCATCAGTGACTGACATTTATTCCCAAAGGTGACATCGCAGGATTGAAGCATAGTGCCAAGTTTTCACTACTCAAAAGTAAACGAAAATTCGACAAGCACAGCGCAGGCATCTGTCGCAGAGAGCACTGCTGAAGGAACGTCCCTCAGCGCGCCACATTAAGTCGTCTTAGCCCATGTAGCTAGTATAATGATGCAGCACATGAAGACGGGCGAACAAGACCAACTTGACTCGGAACGGACGGAAGGAGTATGCACCAATCGCGGCCAGCGTCTGAGGAGCCCCCTCGGCTATAAGCCTCGAATTGACAAAAGGAATTCTCATACGTCGACCGTCAATCTTCATGGGATGTAAGCCAAGGGGCTTCAATTCACCCTTTCTGACAGGACCGGTCGACTTTCACCTGAGGTCTTGGAGCGCGCTTAGCTCTAGATCCAAACTGTTTCAAGTAGAAGTTTGAGTCAAGAATAGAATTGTCACGAATGACATTTGGAGCAAAGCCACAACGGCTCACTTACGACTATTCAACGCCCCAACATGGCAGACCCTTGGGCGGGGAGTAAACGGTTCTTCAACAAACCGGTGCACCTAGTATAACAAGATCTATTTCGGCTGGTTAAGCTGGCTCACGAGGTCACAGCGTAGAAAAGGTAGTGTTAAGTTATCAAAAAGCCGAGGGCGATCGGACACAAAAACAGGTGTGCCTGCTATTTCTGGGCTCACGCAGGATCTAGCAGAGGTCCTACAGTTTCTAACAACTAATGGACGACAAAGATGGTTCAGCGGTTGTCGGTCGACCAGGAAATGAGCGCCCTAACTCTACCTTCAGCTCACGCGGACGTCAGATTGTGCAGATCAAGGCCGCATGACGCGCCAGCCGTCATGAGAGCAAAGAATTTGCGTACTTGGTTCAGCAATAAACTCTCGAAGTAGCCGTTCAACGATTGCAGATTAACGCCAAGATCTGCTCCAATTTAGCTAGAGAACTTATAAAGTAGGTCGGAACAAGGCCTTGAAGCCTTTGCCACCACAAGGGCGGATCCTGCACGCCCTGGGCAGAAGTCTATTTGGATGAACCCTCTTGAAGAACCTCTGGAGCTCCAAAGCTCAAATTGAACGGACCGGAAATTCGGACGGAAGCTATCAGGATCGTCTCGAAGGCCTCCCTAAAACCTTTTCTTCATGTACTAAAACCTGCCAGTCCTTTACCTGGACGGCCTTTCAGAGCCCAACATCAACACTCCTGGGGCATTAACGACCTCAAAAAAGTGGCTTCGTCATGACCGCAATGCCATGTCGTTTCCGCAACCTCGAGCAAGGTGAAAACGTTCTAAGGGCAAGCCAAGGAAAAAAGAAAGGGAAAAAAGCGCAAGCAAGAATAAAGAATGTCGAAAGTATTGTTGAGCTCCCACGCAGCTTCCTTGGGCAACAATACTTTTGACCCCATACACAAACTTTCGGAACTCTCGAAACCTGTGATGGAACGCATCCGTTTCGTTCGAAGGCCAAAATGCGAGATTGTAGACGCTAAGCACCTTTCTCGACAGGCTGAGCGTCCGGATTGGGACCCTCCACTCACTACTGATTCCGTCGAGATTTTTGTGGCATCTGCTTGCATTAACGAACGGCTCTGCACATTGCATCCAAGATCTGGACAGTTAAACAGCTCAATCTGGTAGCATGAACTGAGGTTTGCCTGAAGACAAGGATCCCGTAGATTTGAGCCCATTGTCAATGAGCTTTTGGCGGATGCCTAGCCTGCAGGCTTACACTTAAAGCTTTATGAGATCGAATTCCAGAGCATTCCAGCTGAAGCCGAAAAAGGAACAGATGCACAACGGTGCACTCGGGATATCATGCTGATGCGAACAAGAATACATCGTTCTTGCGCAGTTCGGCTCCTCCATCTTTTGCAAAGGAGATGAAACGTGGGCAAAACACCGTGCGTTGCTGCGCATTTACCCAAGAGTACAAGCTTGTCTTCCTTTAAGTGCGACCTGAGAGAGAAAAGTAGGACAATAGTCACAGAAACTTGTCTCGATTGCAAAAGGCGTCGCTGTTCGCACTGAAGGTTTTGCGGTGAGGGAATACGCATGGCCAATCTTACGACCGTCAAATTTTAACTCTTCCGTATATTTCCTCAAGAAAGAGTGGGAAAAAGGCAGACCTTACAAGGCCATTGCTTGTCCACCGGCATCAAAAGGATGGCGGAGAGCATGACTCAGTGAGCTCAGTGGACGGGAATCAGTGAGCTCAGTGAGCTAAAATCCCAATGCTGTCAACATCATTGCCGTCATTTCAATGCAGTTCGTAAGCACTCGAAGGCTTGATTCAGACATTCAAGACTCCGAGTCGCACATAATGCACTCCGCTTTCCGGCTTCAGAGCAAGTGTTAGTAGATGCAACAGAGTACTGAAAAATCCAAGCTCCGGAATGCACCACATTTCCTCCTTGGTCATCAACAAGAAGCGACTTTGGAAGGATTTGCGGGACTACAATTGACGTGCGGGCATATGAAAGAAGGCCGCAACACAACAACCAAAGATTGAATGTAAGATACAGGTGAACAGAAAAGCGGCTGAAAACTCACGAATGCTGCTAAGGATGGTGGATGTTGATGCAATTTTGCACTTTGTGTCTATGTGCCCTCCTAACTTACGTCCAAGTAACAACGAAACAAATGGTCATACCAGCAGTAGCGAGGTGTCGTGGTCAGAAGTTGTGAGTGCCAAAGCAATCTATGCTAATTGAAACTCACACAAAACACGAGCAGAATTTAATAGATAAGCACGTCAGGAGTGGACGCAAATCACTCAGTGTCAACTAACCAATGGCGTCAGAAGAAGCCAGCCCCATTGAAGTAGTGGGCCCTCAATCAGGGCAGTCCTCGTCACAGCCAAGTTTCACTCTTCAAAACGTCTGGAAGTGAGAGATTCGCCATCTCCCAAAAAAAGCAAACAACAAAGGAAGACAAAACAGAAAGAGCGTCGGATCGCACATGCTGTAATGTACAAACGCATACTCAAGTACGTACCCGGAGACCGAAAATGGAGACGCGAGATCTTGGTCTCAATATGCAGCTTATAATGTATTTACAGTGTCACGTATTAGAAGATTGAGTCAAGAGGCTTGCGCGACGGTCTTCTATGTTTGATTCCTGACGAAGTCAACATCACTGTGCCCCCAAATCAATTGATCCGCACGATGACGTCAGGCACCTCCACGTCGTCATCGTTTGCGTCACTGCACGAGATCGAAAAACTCAGCCGCGTCTCCGTGTCCAGCACCTTCGCCTTGGCCACCTGCAGGAAGACCGAAGCAGGGTTGCTTTACTCACCCAAAAAGGTGCTCCGGATAACGAAAAGGCTGTGTTTGGATAAGGAAGGACCCAATTGTTGGGATTGCGGGAAAGTTCAAAGAGAGAATTGAGACCGGTAGGTAGCAGCTTGAAGTGCCCTCCGAGATGCTCGCACTCATTAACTTTAAAAATCGGGCGAGAACCCGACTGAACGAGACACCAGTCCTGCCACTTGCTAATTAAGCTTAACAGACGAATGGGAGTTGGTTTCTCTGAAATTCAGCGAATCGCAAGACGAGAGAGCTGTTGAATTGTGTAGATGCTATAGTCCAGTCTGTTAAGGAAGGAAAGGAAGTTTGCAGCAGCTTCGAACCTTTCCTGAGCCGAAGTTCAGAAACAATCACCTCTGGAATCCATCTCCTAAGGCACGACCTTCGCTTGTGGCGGACCGGAACAAACCCCAAACCTCGAGATTGACAAGAACTAAATCAGGCTGGGGACATTGCTAGCCTGCCGCTAGACCATTTTTCAAATTGAAAAAAAGGAGACCGCCCCACCTGCTTTACGAGGTCGACGAGCGTCATGGTTAGCCGATCCGCCATCTTCTTCTTGGGCAAAAACTCGGCGTACAGTAAACTCCGCCCATACGACAACATGGACACTTCCAGTCCTTCCTTAGCCTTGAAGTCCTTCAGGAACTGCGCCAGCGTCAGGCTTCGCGCGTCGATTTCGAACCTGCGAAATGAAAATTCTAAGTCGTCAATTGCTTCTTAAGAGAGTGGCAGAGCCAACACGAACACGGCGATGGCTTATAGCCGAACTTGGACTCCTTGGTCGCCGTGATGTGGGCACCATGTGGTGATGCGGAGCGACCAGCAGAGTCGAACGCCTTTGAAAGTGTTGCCCGTGCGGATGCTCCCTATATTACTTCGCAAGCGTTACGACTGCTCGTGACGTTGAAACCCGATGTCCTGCCGTCTTCTGAAGCCAAGGCATTAATCTTGAAGCGAGGGCACTGCCTGCTCCTGATCTGTGATTGAAGACCACCGCACTCAGTCTCGAGCCTTCCAGCAACCGGTTGCACAAGAAACTCAGACAAACGTTGTGTTCGAGCGAGACTTCAACTAATCGGATCTTGGAGAGTAACAGGAGACGAGGACAACAACAAAACACAATGTCTTTTAGATTGCAAAGTTGCGACCCACCGGTTCTGACGGTTTGTTGTCGCTGTAATACAACATATTTCGAGTGACGCAACACGAGGTCTGTTAGGCTCGAAAGACATCACTTTCCTGACACAATACTTCTTAACGGGTCACGGTTAGCAAACCAAGACGATCCAACCCCCCGTGCCCTCACCTGTCCCACAGCGTCCACACGAGCGGCTTCCCGTGGCTGGTCTGCACCTCCGTCTTGACCGCCGCGAGCGGCTGCGCTGACGTCATCAACGGGAGCGCCAGGTTCAGGTACGAGTGCCGATAAGCGCCCAGCGGCTTATTTTGTACCAGCTTGTACAGCTCCAGGCACATAAGCCCCGCAACGACGGACGCCGACGTGATAACCGACGGCAGGATCCGCCCGGCTATGAGCCGCGCCGTCAGCTTATCAACAGGGGGGATGCCGTAGTTTCGGGCCCGGAGGTTCGCGGCGGCAGCAACGAAGTCTAGGTGGTAACGGTCCGTGTCGTCCTTTTGGTAGTCGATAACGGTTAGCCGGTAGCCGGCGAGGCTGGCGGGGGTGGGCATTTCGGACAGGAGGTGTTCGCACGCGGCGTCCGCGTCCGGAGAGGGGCCTCCGGAGATGGCGAGGGCGGAGCCGGGGGCGCTGGCCAAACCGCGGGCCTGCGAGAAGAAGAAAAATGGTCTTAAGAAAGCCTCTTCCACGTAACAATCTTCGAGATGCTCTATTTGAGTTTGACAGAGCGCATGCTGGTTCGGAGTGAGTCGTAGGCGGACGTTGGCAAGAAAGAAGAATCGTGTCCGTCGAGAGCCGGCACTGTAGACGAGGTTGTAGGCCTGAGAAGAGAAAAGCGAGGTAGAAAGGATTCGAGCCTCCGAACAGAATCAGGGAAGACGAGATGGGTGTGGATCTCACTTTTATCAAGCCGAGTTTTTGCCAGCCGTACTGGATGCAAAGACGAAGTGGCGACACAGATCGCTGATGACGTTTACCAGAATAAGTCACATCAAAAAGGAGCTCGATCAAGGTCGAAGTCGGAGCTTGGACGACCTTCAGAATCAAGGTCATCACGGCAGGAAATAGCCTGGCAGCTGATTTGAGACACTAGCCACTGAAAGGACTTCGTCATCTGTTTGAGGCATTGATTCGAACAATGACCACCTATCAGCAGAGCCATGATTCCTGAGAGAAGCTGTATGTGGTAGATTGGGCTCAGAAATGGTGCTCGAAGAAAGACAGAGGCTGCTCAAACCATCCTTATCTAATGAGGAGAGGCAATTCGACGAGCGAGAGACAGAGAAGCGCTCATAGGAGCTGCCACTGCAAAATAGGTAGTCAACTGTTCAGCGAGTGCACATACTGCATAAACACGCGAATCGGAGGGCATCAATCCACGATAGGCAAGTGACCACCAAACAGCGGCCAAGCAGGAACCCGAATCATTGCCATAAGAGCAGCTGCTGCAAGTAGGACCAATGACTAGCAAGTATTTGCTCCGGGCAAAGAGCAACTTTCACAAAGTTCCTCGAATTAGGCAGATTCAACGGTATCCGACTGTATCAACCAGAATGCAATAAACTTGGACAAGACGAGCGAAAGGTGGCAGGTTTCCTTCGACTTGCATGACAAGCAACGTCTGCCACAGGGACCAAGGGACAAGCAACCCAGTGACCAACAACTTCAAATGGACAACAATTGAGCCGGTTGTTTGCAACGTAGGACAGGGAGCGATATTTGCAACGTGACCCGCTGCACGAGCGAAGACATGGAAAACATCGCAAGGTGTGGAACGGCATCCAGAAGAGTGCAGCCGTGAGCCAACCTCAAATAAGCGGTCTTTCACAGCCAATTTACTGGCACCTCTACCAAAGCAACTCAGACGCCACACTTTCAGATTTCATTCAGAGCGAGCAGATTAATCTGAGACGAATCCTCTGGTTGACCGCCAGCCTTGCTTAGGGTGCATAAGAGTGCAAACTCCAAGATATACTAAAGCGGCGCCGTGAGAGTAATCAAAACTCAAAAGGTGGGCCGTTGAGCAGTGAACGGGGACTGAGCGGGTCGGAGATCCGTAAGAGCACTTTCTTTGACCAATAAGACGTGCATTTCTCCAAGCAGAAGAATCGGCACAGACCTGTTCTAGCTTTTGGTATCGTATTCCACATACTCCGGGAACTTATACCATAGGAGCATCAATGACAGGGAAACGAGCCTTGGAGGCGCACAGCGGCCGCTTGATTGAAATATCACAATCGCCTTTTCGGAATGTCAATCGCATTTGTAGCTGAAATCTGATAGGGCGACATGGAAGCACCGCTTGATAGGGAGGTTGCGTCCTCAGGCTTGAGTGACGAACCTTGTAGCCGGAAGCGTTACTCAAGGCCCAACATGGAACACCCAGGAGTTTTAAAAGATTCTTCCAGGCAGGTCCTCCAGAAGCCACTGTGGGTAAAGCAATCTAGGAACAGGATAAGCAGTGCAATGGCGCCAGTCAAAGAAACCCACCAGCAACTACGTCGCAGAATGAATATGAAGCTGGATGTCACTAGCTTGAGCGGTGTGCCTTTTCGGTGAGACGACGGCAGACAGTCTTGCAGGGCTGCTCCATTCCATTGGTTCAGTCAGGCCTCGGGCACCAAAGCAAAGGGGCCAGACGACTCTAGAAGATATAAGTAGCTATCGCACTGTGGCGGCGTCAGAACACGGGAACGGCCGAGAGGCAGAGAAGAGAAAGGGACCCTCATTCCGCGGTGTCGAACAGATCTTCCCGACCCGAACACAGGGAACCATACTTGGACAAGAGCGAGGATGATCAAAAATCGAAAGCAGAGATGCACAAAACAAACGGCAGAAGCACTCAGTTGGCTTCAAGACCGGGTGAAACGGCTTGAGCTCATTGCTCAGCGTCAAATGTATCATAGCCACGACCGCAGACCAAGGTGTGCACAGAGGAAGCTATTGTGTTGCGCTACCGAGCCAGCTCATGAGTCAAAGCTACTTCAAGCTTCTCAGAACCGCAAATTCGAAACAGCAACATTAGAGCACGCCAAAGGGGATCTACTACTGCGCAGGCAAGATGCACGACGGAAAGCTTTGCCAAGTGAAGGGAAGGTTGCTGCGTGTGAAAACCCGTCAGATTTGTGCATCCGCAGCGACGCTTGCAACACTGCAGGAACCGCTGACAAAATCCTTCGTACCACCAACCAGAAAGTGGCAGGCTTGTCCAGGTTCAGTATCAAACCCCATTATCAAATCCGGTCTTAAGAGTAAGGGAGGGCCGAATACGAAGCACTGAGCAGGGAACCCAAAAGCTTCAGTAAGCGCGTCCAAACTTTAGATGTTGAAGGAATGGTCTGTAAGGAAACTATACTCGCTTGACTATCGTGGCTTCACCGAATGCATGTCTGTGAGAGCATGTCTCAAGGGACTGACATCACAGCCAAGAAAGGACCTTTCAAAAGAAGGGTCTGCGCCCCAGATGAGAAGCCTCCAACCAGGGGTAAACCTCCCTTCCATCAATCCGCGCATAACGGAGCAGGCGTGCTTGGACTCTCTTCGGTATCCAGTCAAACGACCATTTTTACTCTGATGGTGCGCAGGGACTCCTTCCCAAAAAGGCTAGAGCTGCTGGAGTCGAAGTTGGAGCCTTGATGCCCAGCGAGAAAGAAGAGCACAACTATAGTTGATCACTGACCGCTTTCGATGTCTAACTCGTAAGACTGCTAGCATTGTCCTGAAAAGAACGCCCGAGGATCGGAGAGAAACCCCGACAATGACAAACAAACCGAATGAACCTCGTTCGCAAGTGCCTGGCTTCCTATTTGGCACCTTGCGAGTGCGGAAGGCGATTGTGACTTTTGATTGCATCCGGTCCCGACAAAGAGAACGGATCCACAAGGACAGTATGCTGCATCTCGAAAACCGAACGGCTTGCTTGTATTAGGCGATGCACACAATCAGACTAAGGAAAGAGCGTGCCGAGCTCGTCACAGCATCCATCAATACACAATCAGACTCGCTTTCCAAAAAGGAGACTTCCTGTAGGATGTCAATATTAGACATCAACCGGCCTTTTAAACTAGTGCTTACAAGGGGGCTCAGAAAGGAGAGGAGGACATGGGAGGCATCTCCATCCCAAAAGGACCAACCGTCAAAGCCCCCCTTCCGAAGCCTTTACTACCACCATCCATTGTCGTACAATGCATCCAAATGAGCACGTTCAGACGCAATTTACAAACTCGTGGGCAGTCAAAAAGACTTCGTAAAAGAACGGACGAACCGCGTAAGTGGTTCGTGAACCAAAACTCCTTTGGGCAAGTATCTCGCAAAACGAAGCCCCTTTTCAGTCGTCAAAATCGGCGTCTAAGAGCGCGAACGGATTGCTCGTTCTGCTTATGAAACTCAGTCGAGACAAGAAGAGCTCGATTCCCTCACAACCGGTGAAAGACATGAAAGCAGTCCGAGTAACGATGGCGTGAATTGCTTGAAAACCTGGGATCGCTCTCGTCGTAAACCTGGGACTGGACCGACTTACCGCTTCATCCGAAACCGCGATCTTGACCCCCTCCCTCGGCTCGAACGGCGGGACCTCGACCCGCGTCACCGCCTCAGCAAACAACGCCCGGTCGCGGGACCCCTTCAGGCCGTACACGGAAGCCTGGGGGGATTCAGAGGCTCATGGTCAACCTCAAGGTCTTCTCAAATGTACCAGGACAAAAAATTATGTCGAAGGTCATACTTGGAATAGTCCTTTGAATGTGCACTTCTTACGGACCTCAAACCAACGGAACTCTCCTAGGAGGGATGCACCGCCAAAAGGAAAGGGACTGTAATGCCTGGAAACACAAATAGCAGGTGGTTCAGATGCAAGGGTTCTCGACCTCACCCAACTTCTCAATCTTATCAAAGCGGACTCAGGTGTCTTGCTTATGGTAGAGAATCCAGGAGATACACCGGTGGAGGGAATGCAGGAGCATAAAACGAGCTCTCGTGCAAGTTTTATCCTTTGTGAGTATGTTTCCTACCGGCACGCTCAACCTTCCAAACCGGACTCGCAAATCCGGTTGTTCACATGGTCCTCCACAGTGCTGGTGCAGATGAGACGCCCTTTCCAAGCGACACATTACAGCCCTCAGCAGGTTCTCCATGCTCTAACAACAAAGGCAAGTCCAAGCAACCAGTTTTCATGCGAACAAAATAGACAAGACGGCATCCATCAGCCGCTTGCTGAACTTTCACTTTCGCTGTGACCAAGTCAAAGCAGACTGGACTTAGGTCTTGTACCTGAAGGTTTGCGGCGGCGACGATGAAGTCGAGGTGCAGCGAGTCGAGCACGTCGAACGTGAGCGGCGTCGGAGCACGCTTCGTGCCGCTCCAAAACGGGGCTCCAGCGGACGTGGTCATGCCTGTGGAATGAGGCAGTTCGACACTCTGTTGATTTGGTTGTTGATTTGGCAAGCATTATGCAGATTCGTCGCATAATCGGGCAGATGGCAACAACTCTGATTGAAGTGACTTTGAACGCCAATGCAGTGATGGTTTTTGTGTTCGCTGAACTCCGTGCATCAAGTGGAGGAAACCACTGCTCCAACTAGCAGTGTTGGTTTGCTAGCATCACGGGCCTTCTGTCGAATTCGAACGCCCTGAACGACGTCGCAAAAAAATCGTGGCGCTTCCAAGTCCTGCACCAAGGAATAAGTACGAACACCAATGGCACCGGCTGCGCTTTAAGCCGGACGTCGAGCTTAGGATAGCAGAGGCCTGGTAAAGCTGCTAAAGAGTCGCAACCCCATCTGAGCATCACAGTCCCCATATGAGAAAAGCTTACACGATGCAGTGAATCACTTCGACACGACTGCAATACGTGCAAAAATGAAAAAAATCGCTCTCCGCGCACCTGGAGCGAAGTTGAAGGTCAGCTGCTTGATGCTGTTGCTGAAGAGCTCCTCGAACTGGTTGCGCGCCCAGGCGATGCACGCGTCGAGGCCGAGCGGCCGCTGCGTTACCAGAGCGCTCCGCAAGCTTTCCAGCGTCGGCAGGCGCGCCGCAGAGTTCTTCTTCAGGCCGTCTAGAAAGTCGCGCCTGCAAAAACGTAATACAACGGTTTGCTGCCATCTTGTAAGCCGTTCGTAGGAATCCGATGTATGGACAAACGAGGTTTTATGTGGAAAACGATTTTGAGAATCTCTGATTTAAGCGCTCTGCAAATTTGCCAGGGTCGGCAAGCGTGCACGGAGTTCCTCTGCAGGCCGTCCATGATGTCGCGCCTGCAGAAGAAGGTGTACAAAAACCTCACCCGCTGCCAACTCCGTCGAGGATTCATGGAAGTTTTTCTTGAAGTAAACGAACAGAGAGGATAAGAGGTATAGCGCAGTACGTTGTTGAGACTTACGATTGGAGAGCCTGCAGAAGGACCCTCCAGCATCGGCAGGGGTGCCGGGGAACTGGTTTTTAGACTGTCTAGAATGTTACGTGTTCAAGAGCATAGTGTTCCTGATCATGGACTGCAAGACTTTGTCTGAAGGGGTCCGAACACTAACAGGGGTTTACCACAATGTTTTGAGAACTCTGTATACAAAAAAGGCACGATCGTTTCCGCGATCACGAAAGGAAGCATACTAGCCGAGTAACGCCACTCCCTTTTCAATATAGGTACCTGTCCGGAAGGCACTCGTAGTGCAAAGCAGGAAAAACGCCTGAGAATGAATACCCTGGCAACCCGACCCCTGTTCTCTTGAACAAGACTCACTTGGAGAGATACGCGTTGACGCCCGCTGGCCGCACTTTAAACAGCCCCTCGAAGATGTCGAGCGCCCATTGCAGCGTATGCTCGCTCGCATACGGGAAGTTCTTGAGCGTGCAGATTTGGAACTCGCGGTGCTCCGACGGGTCACGCGTCGACGCGTACATCTCCGACTGGTGCGGCACAAACACCTGCAGAGTCGGCGAGAGAGTTCGACATCTGATCAACAGCTGAGCAGTTCGGCTTTTGTCTTCAGCGCGCGAAATACAAAGAGATCTAATACTGGAGGGCCATTGGCGACTCGTTTGACTTGTTGTGAGCCTAAGTTTTGACTTGTGTGATCGTCAAGCACGACTATCCATGCATTGGACGGTTCGTTCGAGTGTCCGGTAATGAAATTGCGGCTGTAGGACCAGCAAGGAACGCATTCTGTGGCGTTACTCGAGGTGCAAAAGGAGCCTTTCTACAAATTGCCATCCGGACATTCTTGGGAGTGCAGTGGTTCCGAGCATCCCCCGTCAACCAGAATCATCCAACCAGAAAAAGCATGGTCGCTAATGAAGCTGAAACGAGGCTATCGACCACCTGACGCTGCTCTGAGCTTCTCCCAGTCACTTGCACCAAATAAGGGGAATTTCATGAACAACAGATGATGTGTAGGACGTCGTGATCGAGTCCAGGAAAAGAAACGAGGCTACCAGGCATACCTGGACCCTGCCCTTGGTTCCGAGCTTCCCCCCGTCGATCATAGGGCCACCGAAAGCCACCCACCGGGCGTCAATTTACATCGGAAAGTTCACTCGTGAGGCCGCAATGAATCTCTACAAACTTAAAGCAGGCTAACATATGCATACCTGGACGCTGCCCTTGGCTCCGAGCTTCCCCCCGTCGATCATGGCCTTCCCGAAAGCCACGCATCGGGCGTCGATGTACAGCCGCGACGAACCGTCGTCGACGGCCGTGCAAACCCCAGAGAGCTTCTCGAAGAAGGCCGAGTCGAACAGGCCCTCCGTTTCAGCAGCGAGCCGCTCCTGAACCGATACGGAGAAAGACTTTGCGCGTCAGGGAAGCCTTCGTCTAATTGTAAGCAGCCGTCGCTGAAGGATCTTGGGCGCTTGTATGAGCTTAGGGAAGCAAAAAAATCAATTGCACTGTCTTGACAGCTTCTAGAAGGAGGCCGAGTCGAAATCGCCCTCCGTTTCTGCAACTAGCCGCTCCTGAACCCAGACAGAGAAAGCCTTTGGTGTCAGGCAGAGGCGTTCAGACGATGGTGGGAGCTTCAGAGACGAGTCCTTCACAGTCGGTGGTTAGTTAAGATGCAGCGCTCGAAAGCAAGGAACCATGTTAGAGTTGGTGAACGGTCCAAGTGAACTCAATGATCAAGAGCGAGCACCGACCGTTCGTAGGATTATTTGAAAAAGAGTCGCATCCAGCAGAAACGAAGCGAGTCCGTCCCTTTCTACTCCTTCTGGGGTGCCAATACTTTGACAGGAGCTATGAAGCGAACCTCGCCGAAGACAATCGGAACAAAGCTGTGCGACTGCACCCGTTCCTTTGAAACCGCTCTCGGTCCTCGGTTCGCGACTAAACAAATGACACGAAGCTCCCCTTAAAAAGGTAAGAGAGACGGCTCATAGATACTTTCAAGGACTACAATTGAGAAAATATACCCCATGAAGTCCGACCTGGATAGCCGCCGTGTGCACCGCAGGATTGATCTGCCTGACAGCCTCCGCCGCCGTCGCCGCTTTCGGCTTTCCCACGTCGCTTTTCCGGAACAGCGACTGCCCGGGGAGGTTCGGAAGTTCGACGATGTCCGCATCGGCGACGGTAACTCTCCCGCCGTTCCCCGTGCCGACCCCCATGAGCGCAAAGTTCTTCAGCAGCTCGCAGCCGATGCCCCCGGCTCCGGCCACCAGGTACCGTAACTCAGATAAGGCGTCCTGCAGGCGGAGAGGTGAGTAAGCATTGATGCAGAGTTCGCGAGAGCAGTTTGTGGCGATGTGGGGGGTCGGGGCGTTACGAGAAACGGCCATGTGACTGAGAGCAGATACGAAGTGCGACCTTCCAAGTGCGCAGGCAAAGAGCTGGTCACTAGAATTCTCAGCCAAGAGGAGTTGCAACCAGCCGACCCCAAATGAATCTTCCGCAGATTGTGATACCCAGCTTCGAGTCCAGGCTATAAGGTAGCTTGGCTGAGAGTAAACTTCTGATTGTGAGATACCTAACCGGCTGCCTCTTGCTTGGATATGAACGCATGCGCCAGAAGCCTGGCAATAACCTGTCTCTTTAGGGGACTACCTCGGGGTCGTAAATGCAAGGACAGTGAGCTGCAGCGCCAGTCTGCAATGCATGTGGTGCGATTCTTTTCAGAGTTTTGACATTACGCCTAATCCTCAACCAGACCGCAGCAGAACGAGGACTTCGTCGAATCCAGCATATAAATCCTGCGGTTCAACGGCCCAAAATTCAAGTTCAAAGTAAAGTAGATGGAACCTAGGCTACTCACCTGCACTTTCTGCCCGGACACGCCAATCTGCGCCGCTTTCCACGGCTCAACGGGGGCCCATGCCCGGCCAGCTTGCAACAGATTGACATCCCATCAAAACCACCACATGGTCCCTGCCCAAGAATGGAGTCAACCATAAAATAGACGACAATCGCCGCTCACCTGCACTTGCTGCCCGAACACGCCAATCTGGGCCGCATACCGCGCCTCCACGGGGGCCTCCATGCCTGCCGCCACGTCATCCGGCGCCGCTTCGAACGCGTCCAGATATTGCCACTGCTGAATTGGCGTCATAACCCCTGACACCGCTTTCAGGACTTCTTGCGCCACGATCCCTCCGACTATCGCCGCCATCGGCGCAAGTTCTTGGCCCCAAGACGCGGCTAGAGTCTGCAGAAGGGCCAGGGTTTTGGAGGAGGGGTCGGATCGGGCGGTTCGAAGGGGCGCGGAGGACGTCGCGAGATTGGACGACGCCTGGCGGTCGAGCAGAGACTGCGCAGAATTGTGAATGTCCTCTAGCAGGTCCTGCAAGACAGGTGTCCGGTCGTCAGAGAGCTTTCTTAGAGAAAGCAAGAGCTCTCTCGTTGTCAGACGACTGATGAGCAAACATGTTGTGAAAGGGCGTCTAAGTAGAAACAGACTGGACTGAGAGTGACTGAATACCCTTTGAATCCCCTGAAACCTAACGTTCTTGAATGGTTGTAATGATTTCTTGAGCGCTTGTTACACTCTGGGACGCTCTCAAATAGGAGGGTGGTCCAGACTATTCTCGAGAGGCGCTGGATTGGCGAACTCACACTAGATAGGGGGAGCGCCAAGTCGTTTCCAGATCCATCTTGGACGGACTGAAACGTGCGGAATGCTGCGTGCAGAAGCTCCGGGCGGGTCACCTTGCTTGGATCGCTGCAAATGAGGAAAAACACGACATTTCCACATTTTGTAATCAGGTGAGGAGCCGCGACTCAAAGTTTTGACAATTGATGCTCGTTACACCTCACAGTGCCGATAATCCTCGGGCAGAGTGAACTTGCGCTAAAAAGGTCTCCATGAGACTCTCAATATCCCATCATGAAAAGGGTATCTGGAAACCTCATGATAAGAGCGGCCTCACGACGAATAAAGACATGATGCCACAGATCGTTTGCGACTTCTGTGCGCTTGCAAAGATACAAAGCGCGCTGTTTGGGAAGCAAAGCCTCGTGGTGCTCTGCGTGCCCCAACGGTCTTGATATTTCCGCACCTTCTTCGGTTGCTTCATGAAGTCCCTGTTGTGCAACCCACACGAAAGTTCCCAAATGTTTAGGAGAAGCATCAATCCAGATGCAATCGCGCAGGCGCTTCTTTTCGGACTTTTCCTTTGCACCCTTTAGTTGCTCGAATATCCTGTTTGGTGGCCCATACAACTTTGAAGGAGACGTTGTTCTCACCTTTCGACAAAGGTTGGAGCCTCAATCGACACCTTTAACGGCTTGAAGTGGAGGAACTTCGAGGGTCGTAACTGCAAAAACAGTGCAAAGCGATTATGCAATCAAAGCCAATCACCGTATGTCCGTGATGAGGACAGTGGAGCTGAATTACTACAGGTGACATACCAGATCCTTCGTGAGGCCCGTTATCCTGGCGAAAGAGAGACGGCTTCTTCACGTTGCACGGTGCAACAGGCGATCTCCAGCTCATCCCTACAATGGACTCAAGATGAAGCTTGGTGACCCAAGAAAGGAGCAAAACGTGACTTCCGACCGACCTGTTTTGGAGCGAAGCATTGCCATCGGTCAGAGGAACGACTTCTTCCTGCCTCGCTGTGTCCTATAAACTCAACTTCTATGATGAGCAGGGCAGATTTGTAAAGTTCCACGAAAGACAAGACGGCAGTTGAAATTGTTTACAGCTCTTACCCGTCTGATGTACCCCCCTGAAACGTATCGCCCATACTCGCGGGTATCGTCCGGGATAGTGAACGAGTGGCTGCCCGTGACGCTCACTCTCCGGGGGGGTCCGTCGTTGAGCTGCGTCATCCCCCTGATTCCGGAAAAGCTGGCAAAGTCCCCGTCCTCGAAAGCATGCCGCTGCTCCTCTACGACCGTCACAGTCGCCGGAAGATCCTGTGATCAGTTGACGTACCCGCGTGTCAATGAAAGGAACCCTAAGAGCGCCATCTCTGCCCTACGAACCTTTTATAAGGGCCCCCAGCACAATCGCAATCTGGTGCAACGGAGACGATCAGGACTCAAGCAGGGAGTCATACTACCATCAAATCATTTGCCATGGGAAAGGTCCTTTAGGAAGGCGGTTATTGGTTGTACTCCCTTCTGACCGGTCAACCACTGCCACCCCATTGAAAACCCGAGCGCCGCCTGCTATGCCTCCTGGTCGTTCCGCACAAGAGAATGAATCGACCAGTTGTGAGCACGGGCTTGCATAACCCAAGCAGTATGTGGAAGCGTCTATGGATAGAGCTCCGACGATAAAGATAACATCTGAGTTTGCCAAAGGCTGCTGACCTGGGTGACGCTTTCTATCATGACGGTCGGCGAAGGTTCACCAGTGGCGTCCTTGACTTCGAAGCTCTCCCCGAGGTCGACGAAGACGAAAGCAGCGAGGCCGTGGATGCCCTGAGATCGACGGGGGGAAACGGATGGGAATCTTTTTTTTTGAGTACTCTAGCCTGCTGTAGATTTCCTGGAACGTCTGGTCTACATCTGTCAGACCCTTCTAAAAGATCTAGATCAGTTCGTAGCCGCTCGTGTGTGGTTGGAGTTGGAAACACTGTTCGGAGCGCTTCTGCGGTGGAGTAATGGGGAACGATATAAGTTAGGGACAGCTATATGACCAAGGTGGAGTAATAGAGGCAGTAGCTCAGCTGCAGCCGGAAAGCGCTTACAGGATAATTGACCACCATTTGCGGATGTCTTGACCAGGATGTTGTTGAGCATCTATTGAATATGGTAGCAAAGGCTTACCGCAGCGATGAAATGTGTGCCATTAGAGCGGCACAGTGAGTTCAGCGCGGCCAACTCGTCCCAGCTTCCCTGAGTAGCAATCACCACCTGCGCTCCATGCTTTGGCTGTCAAGACAAAAAGTCATCTGCTGTCAGTGTTCGAGTCCGCAGTACAAGGAAGGGTGCGCACTGCAGGCGCTCTAAGAGAATACCCAGCCTCAAAAGCACCCACCCTGCCACATGAAACGTTGATTCTTATCTCAATAATCGCTCTCGGCCAAGCAAAGCTACCATCTGAAGGACCCGACAAGGACTCTTTTTGCCTTAACATACACTTGGAAAGCAAGAATTTTCGAAACCGAACAGCTTCCTACAAGTACCCTGATCTCGGTATCCTGTAAGTGAGGAGCCGGAAGATATAAGAAGGCCCGCATCGTCCCTACTTCAGTGCTCTTCAGCAGTTCTGCAGTGAGTGGCCCCTGGACCGCTTGCACGTGCGCACTCTCATTCAGCTCTCCAAGCCTAGTTGCGCTGACCGCCGCTCGGCCAAGGCCCACATCTCCTTCTCGCAGAAGAAACTGGCAAACGGACGAAGGTGTTTCAGTAACAGACAAAAACAAGTTTGACTCTCACCGGTAACTGCTTTGTGAGATTCGGGTCCTTTGAAACGGGCCTAGGGATTGTGGACTTGTGCGAGATTGTCAGGACAATTTGGTGTCATGACTGCCTGCGATTATTCTACATTGGCAGATATTGATCCTATAGGCGCAGTGTGGCTCCCTATGAGGAGCGAACGACTTCAAAAGGTGTTCTAAGAGCTTGGAAAACTTCTGCGTAAAGTTGAGAAGCAAACTTAGCAATGGAAAGAGCCATTGAGTACGAACTCTTCTGTACAAGCACAGCAAGAAAATTGTGTGTAAGTTCTTTGCTATATGTTGCTGGGATCGAAGTTTCAGAGCCTCCTCACCTGAGAGGAGAGGTCACTGGGCCCCACCACCCCACCATCGATCAGCGTAAGTTGCTTGACGCCAGCAAGGATAACGTTCTTAGCTGCAAACAAACAGCCGACAGCCAGTATCAACACGTAGCAATCTCACATATTAGCAAACTTACAAAATGACCAAAGGGCCCCCGAGCATGGCATCAGAAGACCGAAGAATCTCAAAAGGAGGTTTCCAGGTGCTTTCAAACAAGTACTCTTTGCACCTCACGTTCGTTGTCAACCAGATAAGACCATGACAATAACTTCGTTATGGGCAAGAGAGTCATGGAAGCTTCGAAGACAGGACCCAGACCAGGCAACTTGTAGGCGGATCACCCCCCTTCCGATCCCTTTGTAAACCACAGAAAGAAAGACACCCTTCTTTCATCAGGCAACAATACCAATGACTATTTTCCTTCTGATATTATAAGGATGTTACAATGAAATTCTTGCGAAAGAAATGTATGATTACAACCACGAGTAGTTGTGATTGGTTGAGAATCAACTGGTAAGTCCAGTTTGTTAGAGAACATTACAAAATGTGCGATATTTCCAAGAGAAATATGAAATGATCGCACACCCGTCTCAGCGCCCACTCCTTTCATGCCGATGATGACCACACTGCTCACTGCGATCGCCTGCGTCGCATCCCTTCCCAGTGCATGAATCCTGCAACAAGACAGAGTCAAGGCCTCTGTGAAACAAGAATAATCAGGGACTAAACTCACACGGCATTGGGTCAAATTTCTGTAAACAAAATGATATTTGACCGGCACCCCATGCAATAAAAGGGTTTATTGCTCCGTCAACGCCTGGTTTTGAAAGAGAAACTTTTGGCGACTTCGAAACTGCTCGCAATCTATCAAAATCCAGGGGCGACAGTCCCCCAGACTTGACCAAGATAGACCTGGTGTCACACCTGGTGTCACACCTGGTGTGATCTGGCAACAAGATAAGACATGCAAGGGCACGTTCTCATGATCATGCGCGTGCCAATCATAGATTCAGCGTGTGCAAGCGCAACCTGTGGTTTCAACTTTCACAATGCCAACTGACGTGTGTCCTCTTTGACAAAATGCAAGGGGCGCCAGAGACGAGAGTGGGCTGTAAACTGTTGGGGTCCACGGAGTCGAACCATAGACCACGTTATACAACTCTTCTTGGAGGTGTGGTTCCAACCGTGTTGCAGCAATCCACCGGGTTGCCCTTAGTGAATGGCCAACTTACTGTCTAGAGTAGACCAACTCGTCCAGTGGTGCTTTTGATGTTTCTGCCTCCATGGCAGGCAGTCTGCAGGTTACAATGCGATTCCCTGCCTCTCGACACTTGAAATCAGAGCAGATGTTTGCACCAACCTATGCAGAGAATCCTGCTTCCGACCATCCGCAACCAGCTTACAACGGCTTTTGCTTTGCACAAGGTGAGAAGTCACTTCTCTGACAAAATTAGGTGCTCCCTTGGACTTTTAACTTTGAAACTTCCTGTTGACTCACACGAGCAGCCTGGGCGTTTGAACTTGTGAGCCGCGACTCCGAGCCGCCGCCCCAGTTTTGCAGCGCCCCACTTCTTCTCGAAGCAGAAGCATGACAGGTCAGCTGTCCCGAAGAGCTTGTGCGAGTGGGTGGCATAAGGCCTCCTACCCGAAAACTTAGGGAGGCCCCCGGAAATCATATCTAAAGTTCCAAGGCGCAACCGTAACGCCGCCGTCGAATGTTGTCGTGGTTCTAAACGGTCCTTCATCAAGTGATTCGAATAACGCCACTTGAAATCAATTAACAGATATATTTTGAATGGTCTGGGTGGTTATATGGGGGCGGCCATATAATCACGGTCTTACATGGACGCAACATGCCAAGGCCCTGCACCCAAGGCCTCCGAAAGAATGTTTCCACAGATGGCGTGTCACATGAGCATCATCTCGCTTGCAGCTCGCTTTCGGGCCGACGGAACGCATATGCGCCGGGAAATGACGTTTTCGTGCTCTTCTCTTGCAGATTGAGGCGGCACCTCGGGTCTCCTCCGGCCATGGTCCTACATCAGAGCACGTGGAAGTACCTTTTCCCCACCGGAAAGAGGCGGGCCCAAAATCAAAAGCCACGGGACCCTCGGGGGGTTTTTGCCGGCTTCCACAATGTCTAGATAGACTAGCTTTGATATAGGACTTTGGATAAGAGACTGACCTAAGTGAGAACTTACCATGCGGAACATGATAAGTATATCTCTAAAAAGCTTAGGTTGTGTCGTCGTTAATTAGCCTTGCTTCAATTCACATAGGATTGCTTCTACGGCTCACAAAACTAACTACGAGGAACTTGTACCCGTACCGGTGAAACGGTCGGTTGTGAAATGAAATCATGACTCTGAGATACCTAGTTGCCAAAGCACAATTGATCGGACCCGACTCTCGAAGCGCAGACCCATTATCTACACAAGGACGCGCCAGCTCGCCTGTGCGGGACTTGCCCAGAATAGACTCCATCGGTGCACATACTCGTTCCAACAAGTGCGTTTGGTGCAAGGCTTACACCGTTGATCTTTTTGATTGGAGATCCATTGTTCAGCTGTAGCTCCGCATAAGCAGGTGAGCGAGGGGCAGACAGATCCGCCTTTGCAATGGCGATGGGATGCTGAGAGATGTTCCATTGATGTATTGTCAGCCTCCGGCACAGGATGTTCTGTGTGAGCATCAATCTTGTCGGTGACTACTTGGTTGCAAACGGTATGCTAAAATCAGCAGTGATGAGGTCCGTCTCTACAGTTGTGCATCTACATGCTTCACACCGTTGTTAATACTTGCTTCACATGCATTCGTCGCCTCAGAATTGGCAAGGGGGTTGCTGCATGCATCCACGGACGGTGGTCACCTTTGCCCAACACCTAGAAAGCGGCCCACCCCGCTGGCTTGGTTTGTGGTGGTTGTGGGGCGGAGTTCGTTGAGGGCAGACTCAGCTGCAATGAAACAAAATGGTGGAATTGGAACCAAGAACCTGTCCGGCAAACTTATATTTTGTGCGAAGGATCCAAAGCAGGCCCCTTGACTATGACGAGACATTTGGCAGTCAAGGATAGTTGCGTTGATGTGGTTCGGATGGTTCGGGTTTGACTTCGTGACGTTTTGCGGACTTGCAAGTAAGCAAACAATTGGCACTAAAGGACAGGGTCACACGTAGACGAAGGAGCGATCAAACGGTGACGGTCGACTTAAGAAAAGAGTGGACCCGATAAGTTGTCCAGCGGTCGTGATTGAGTGTTGAACCAGGCCTTTTTGCTATCGAAAGTACGCAGCAATAAGGGGTAGTTGCATTGAAGGTGATGCTGCTGCTCAGATTCTGTGAATGGTCGGTTCGCAAAGATGGCATATTGACAAAAGGATGACCAGATACTGAATTCTAAAAAGAAAGAAAAGGATAAGTCCAAACGGTCCGACCTAAGTAAGCCGCTTGAAAACTCCACAAAACAGACGACGCCGAAAAACTCGGGTAACACCAACGAAGCACCGAGACGAAAATCCAACTTACATCAAGTTGTGACAGGTCCGCAAACGGATCGCCGGTGAACTTTGCCTGCGGGCCACCCGACCCTGCTGTCAGCCCCGCTGACCCCGGTCTCGACGACGGGGGGGTGATTTTGCCTGAGAGGGTGCTGGGGATCGAATGGACGGGCCCGCGAATTCGACCCCCCCCGGGGGGTGGCGCGAGGGGGGCCTTCATGGCCGGCATTTTGAGGGGGCTGGAGGTCGTGCTTGTGGCGGCAGACGAGAGCATGCCCGCTCGCTCGGGCTTGTTTGTCTTCACGCTGATACGTATCGTCTCTCCTTCCTGGAAAAGAGGTGCACCAATTTCTGAAAGTTGTGTGGACCGAACTTTCCTGGTGTGCACATGGCTGCGCCAGTTCATTTCGTAATGTTACTGCAGTGAACGCCTGGGGTCGTCCACGAGAGGAGAGCTTCTTATGAAAAGGCTGAAGATTGAGGGACGATAAGCAACAGACGGCAAAGACGAGGCCCCTTTCCGCAAAACGAGCGTTTGATAGCATATGAGCATTTACTTTGCGCCGAGCTCCCAGTACTTTCGAGAACAATATTCAGAAGGATTCTGGCCACGAATGATCTCGGAGCCAGGCAAAGGTTGCACCAACGAAGAAACGGTGAAGGTCATCGAAAACCTCAACAGATGCAGGAGTTGTAGAAACGGCTCTGGAAACGGCTGGTTTCATTTGGTTTCGGGCCACCCCTTCAGATTTACATGGGGCTAGCGTCAAAGTTCTGTTCGCTTTGTGCTTTTGAAAACGAATCGTCTGATCCACGTCAACGCTTCGGCAAATGATTACACCGTAGGCTGGCTGTACCAGGTCAGACCCTGCCCACAATCTTGACGCGAACAGATCTCCCCATCGCAGGGTAAAGCGATTAACGACTCAATTTAGCCACCTTGTTTGCTCAGTCAGTTCCTCTTCCGTTCGGTTCTCTCTCTCTCCACTCATCAAATATTCTGCCCCAAAACTTGTCATACCCAGAACAATCTTCTGACCTGTTCTGCTCACCTAGGGCGTCACCAGCTCGTGCCTGGTCATCCCATGTGAAGTTGACTCTCTGCACTAGACTTGAGTGAAAGCCTTACATGCCTTGTGTTTATCCCTCTTTCCGCCTCACCTTGAGCTTCAGGTTGGCTGCCGGCGACGCAGCTGGCGCCTCCTCTGGCTCGTCCGCTCTCTCCGTCTCTCTCAACGTCCACTTTTCCTGGTCCGAGAGCGCAACGTTGAAGTCAAACGCCTCGTTTCGCTCGTTGAACCCCACGCCGATGAACGCATGCTTTCCGGCGCCGTCTGAGATGCGCAGCACAAAGTAGCGCGAGCTGTCGGTGACGCTCTCCACGCTCGCCTCGCGCTTGCCGGCCTGGACGGGGCAGGCGGCAAACAGCTCGCCCGTGTTGTTGTCCTCCAGACTGCATAACACATGGTCTGTACATATTGAGTGTCACGTTCAGCTTAAATTATGGAGTTCCTTCATTCCACTTTTTCCGCTGGAAGCTGCTGAAGATCCAGCATTACAGCAGACCTGTGGCGACATATCAAATTTGAAGGTGATATGGCAGCTTCTGAAACGTACCCTTTCATTGTTGAAAATCTTACTCAGGCACCAGCTCATTGAATTGAAAGCCTAACAAACCTGCTCCGCTTTTCTCAGGCGTCACAATGGCCTCACATTCATTGCAGATGGCCCCTTTGCACATTCTTCTGCTTCTCTTTGCAACAAGTCAGCATGACACATGAATTGACACTCAACGGTTATGACGCCAATGAGTAGCCCAGTGCCAATCAGTATGTTCTGGTTTATTTATCTTGAACAATATGAGGGCAGCAGGCACATACAGAAGCAGCCAAGTGATGATCTTATTGTAACGGCTTAGCCTCATTAAAATCCAGCTTGAAAACGGAAGCCTCCCATTGAAAGCCTACTGCAGCTGTTTGCATCACTCCTTGAACTTACAATACAGTACAATCTTGTTGTTTAAGTGGGAGTCATGCATATCACGACTAAAAAGAGAAACCAAGCTTACAAAACACTTTTAACTGACTGAAAATGTCCAGCCGCCTATGTCTTTTTGTGGCTGAGAGTATCCAGCCCCCTAATCGTCATCATACCCGACAAGAAACTCCAAATGCGCGTATGCCAGCTGCTTCAATGCCGTGCCTCTTTCTGATACTACTTTGACTCTGGACATTTCCAGTGAGTCTTAGGGTTTCCTTGCTCAATGCCCCAATTGAACATGAAAGCGGTCTGAATTTCACAAACTTAGCGCAAGCTCTGTCCGCAAAGAGCATGCATGAGGCCGACTCTCAAGTCAAGAAAGGACACGCATGACTCACCGTATCTCGCATTTGTGTCCATGGGAGATGACGCGCATCCTTCCAGACCATATCCGATCAGAGACAAGCCACTCCGCGCATTTGTAGCCGCCGCTGCCCTGCCTCGGAGGGATCTTATATACATGAACTTCACGGACAACTAGGAGCGTCTGCTCAAGGGACTCCTCATCTTCCTCAAAAGCCATGACTGAGGTTGGGCCTTCCCAGGCTAGATTGATCCACGCAAGTGATCAATTCCAAATGTGAGCAGTGCTCACTGCTCAAACACAGATACTCAAGCCAAGCGCCTCGGCCCAGGACGCTGTCAGCATATAATTTTGGCAAACCCCTTGCAAAACCCGATGATCAAAGCGCAGAAACTTTTGCCCAAGCTCATGCAAACGTAGTCCAATGCCCCAGGCAGTAGAGGGAGGGAGCGCCCCTCGCACAATTGAAAGCTATGCAAATGCCGCTGCGCCTTCCATTGACCATTTTCCTTCTATTACATGCTTCGCCAATGGCAACATGGGGATCACGCAACCATGCAGAAGAATATATTAGGTAGAGGAAGAAGACCCGTTCTCAGATTAGGGTTCTGCTGTGGAGTGAAACCCTAGACGCAACGCACAAAACGGGCCTCACTAGCTGTGACTATTACACTCGGCTAACGAACTGTGAAAGTGTGAGATGCTGACCTGTGCAGACGTTGCATTCCAGCAGAAACTTCGCGCAGCTCCGCTTTCCAAGGGCGGCCCTTCGCTTTCCGAGCTGCTCCAGCCGGGCCATTATTGGCCCATGGCGCCATGCTTCGTCTTGCTCATCGTTTCCCTGTCGCCAGGTCGTCCTTCAGCATTGTAAAGTCGCACCAAGATCTGCAGCTGCGGCTTGCAAGTGCGAAGCCCGCTGCCAAGAGCGCGTCTGAGGATGTGCCAAGCACCGAGCATTTGAAAGGGAGAAGTTTCGAGCTCGAGCGGGTTTTCTCAAAGAAGGATCTTCTGCATTTTGGTTGGTTGACGGGGGACTCAAACCCCATCCACCTTGAAGACAGTGCGGCCAGGCGGGCCAACTTTGAGAGCTGTGTAGTGCATGGCATGCTGGCCGCGTCGCTCTTCCCAGCCATCATCGGTTCTAAGTATGTGAGTAGCAACTGGGTCTAGCTTGCCTTCCAGTCCCTCTGCATTGTTGAATGCTGCATGTGACGTATACTTGGTCAGCCCTTTACAAGGCAGTCATCTGAGTCAGTCAAGACTTGCTTTGGGTGAAATTTGCCTGAGCATCTCTAGCTTCGCACCTTCTGCATGTGCGCCACGAGTATTTCAAAATGGCAGAAGTCTTAGCTTCTCTGAAACAATCTGTTGGTGACATCGCTTGGAGTTGTTTCTTATATAAATGAATATGGTCAAGAAAGATGATCATGATTGGCCTTTCTGAGGACTGCTCTGAGGTGCCAGTCGTCCTGCTGACAAGTAAGCACCTTCGCCCTTGTGACGGGGGCCTTATTGTAAGATTCTGCCCTTTTTCGCTTCGGCCCCTCCGCATCATGCTTGCCTGCTTTCATGTTTCAAAATGCAATTCAAACTTTGCAGCCCGGAGCAGTATATCTTTCGCAAGAGGTGAACTTCAAAGCCCCGCTCCTCGTCGACGAACACGTGACAGCGACCGTCAAGTGTACTTCCGCCAAGTTGCTCCGTCAGACATATAGGCAAGCACTCTCGATTCTACCCTTCTTCGGCCCATGTTTAGAGCTTCCAAAAGATCAACTGGTCACCCGCTGTCATGTCACAGACACTGGGACTTTTGTCTCACCCTGCAGACCGCGTGATAGGTGATTGTGCTCTAGTTTCGAGATAAAGGCCGTGAGCTTAGGTTCCCTTTCCCTTGCGGATCCTGACCGTGGTACAAACACAGAAGAGCAACAAGGCTTGACAAGGCAGGGCCTGATTGGGAACCACTGGAAGATCGTTCAATCCACCCCCTCCGATTAATCATAAGAGATTTGACGCTTTGACTATTGAGTGCGCATTGAAAGAACCGCAGATTGTGACCACAGGCCAGATTGAGATCTGGAATCCTCTTCTCTACGTCCATTCGACCAGACATTCTTGCCAAGCATGCAGGCATCTTGTTTATCACTCCCCTTCTACGTAATGCAGGGCCGTCTTCTCAACAGTCTGCTGCAAGGACGATGGCACCGTCGTTATTGACGGGGTAGCCAGAGCTCTGATACCGGTGGCCAGTGTCAAGGCGGAAGGCATGTCAACAAAGTAATCAGAATCTCGATCCATAGATCTCCCAGTTTATGATGGAGAAAGGATATGCGAGTGAGAGGCTGGGTCCTCCTGAAAACGATTTCAGGTGAGGCCAGTCTGGTCTTTGGCTGTCTTCAAATGTGGGGTCAACATCCTTTGATTCACCTAGACGGCAAGATACTCGCCCTCGCGGCGCACGTGTCCGTTGCAAAATGTCCAAGTCAAAGTGGGCGTTGGATTTCAAGGTCACCCACATGGCCGTCGCTGTGTCCCTAAAACCTGAAAGGTCACTTTTGCTGTCGCTGCCAACAATTTTCATGTGCAAATTGGGGCGCGAGAACAGTGCATCTCATCTTTATCTGGTGCTTTTGCGGATGCATTCGCTGACGCCCTCTTTAAAGCTATTCAAGTTCTGAATCAATACTGTTGTCCACCTCAGAAACTGTGTGCATCGTCATGTCGTGGCAGCCAGTCGTTGTGCGACTCAGCCAAAACTAGTCACCGGCAGCGACAACGATCTTTGAAGATCTTTCGGATGTTCTGATGCCTCCGTCCACTGCGTAAGCCCTTGCAAGCTGCTTTGGCCTTTCACTGCTTTGACGTCAGGCTTCTCTTTCATGAGTGGACACTCGACTTTGCTTCTGTAGGACAATGTGGGCGCTGACAATCTCAATATGTTCCCCGCAGTTGTATCAAGTGCGGGCACTACCTCGGGCTGAATGCCAGCCGGCTGTTCCATTCCAAGGAATACTTTCCAGCGGGAAACAAGGGAACGCTGTCGTTCCAGGTGGCCGACGAGCGGTGCTTCGTACAGAAGCAGGAGAGCAAGTGCGGGCCGTTCTTTGAGACGGCCGATTCCTGGGGAATCCAGCGGACGCGGACGGCGCTCTTCTGCGCCCAGTGTAATTCGAAGGTGAGTAGACCTGTTGTTTTCATGCGTACAACCAATCTTTGTATTGGACAACGTCCCTGCAGTCTTCGATGCATTAATGAGGGGTATCGACATATTTCGCCTGCATAGAAGAGAGGAGTCGTGAACTGTATACATCGAAGATTGCATCTTGCAGTTCCTGGTGGGGATCAGACGACGTATCCAGGGGACGAGCAGTTGCCATGGAGGGTTTCTCCTTCCTCGGAAGCAGGACGCATCGTCTTTCTTGAATGCGCAGCCGGTCTTACAAAGTTGTTGCCGAATGAGAGAAGAAACCGATCCATGACCCACTAGGATTTGAGGGACAATAAAGCCCACCTCTCCCAATCGATGGATGAGTAGAAAAGTCATTGAATGGAAGGCTGTCGCAGGCCGCGATACGTTACTTAACAAGCCACAAAATGTCCTCCGCAGATTGGGTACATCTACCATGATGGTCCGTCGGTGGAGAACACCATCGGGCAGTTTGGGATGGGGCCTAGCCAGGTCCTGCCGCGGATGCAGCGGTACAGGATCAAGAAGAAAGCCGTGATTCCAACCCAGGATGTGCCAGCGCATCCCGAATATCAGCAGGGCTTTCAGAAGGAAGTTGATATGCCAAAGAGCATTGCCAAGTAGCCCGCAAGACAAGTTAAAGTCGAGATGAACTGCATATTGCCTGTTGTACATAGAAAAGGTCAAGTCAATAAGGGAGTGTGCTTTGCGAACAATAGTGCCCGCTATCATATCTACCAAAATTTGTAAACAGCAAAAGTGGCAGTGGTGTTTTTACCATAACAGTAAATCTTATATGTGTCTGCACGTCGTGAACATCAACCGTCATGATCCACCGTCCGCTTGCGCGGAAGCTGTGCCAGCATGCAGATCCTGACCCCTGAACCCTCGCGATTTGTTCCGACATATGTTGAGGGAGAAGTAGTAAAGACTGATCGATCTTAATCATGCATATCTTCATTATTGGTACTAGCTAGTCGATAATATTATGAGGGATCCTCTGTACTAAGCTTTGCATGATCGACGACAACCCGACTGGTCGTATGTGCCCCGACGCAATGCAAGATATCTCGATAAGTTTAATTATCTGCGCCGGACCGCCAGGCTCATAAAAAGGACCGTCAATTAGGAGGAACCGCAGCAGTAATGCCACCACTATATAGTCTAGCGCAAATTCCATGATCTGCATAACTTAAGCCATAACGCCGTTCCGCTGTATAGCCGTTTGCATAGCATACACGAGTCGACTCGTATCATTGATCATTGTCGGATACATGCAGTTCGCCCATACTATATGCATGATGTGTAGGTTGCAGTGTGCAACTTGTTAAGCTTGTCTTTCGTAGTGAATTTAAATGCGTGACGAACATTGGACATGACTTGCAGCCGTAGCAAGGTGCGGAGTTAACTCATTGTATCCGGACGGTATCATCGGAGTATTGCTCGATGGCTCAGGGTTTATAACAGCAAGTGACCACCAATACATGCAGCCAGATTATAGCTTACATGCACTAGCTGATCAGCGTATACGTCAGAATCGACGATCGACTGATACAGTTTACGGCTCATCCGACGACCTTGTAAACCCTAACCGGATGGGATCGATCACGTGTGCATGTTCATATGCGTGTAATTGCAACGCTGCTATCGACGCATACCTGATCGGAGCTGTAGTTAAGTTCGCCATGCAAGCTTACTAAGTACCTTTCGATTGGGGCGGCTTAGGATTAATGCTAGAGCAGGCGCCGGCGAACTTATCGTATGATGATCGAGCTGTCAATGGCTGCATGCATATACGTACACTGAGATAACGGCGGGCCCCCTGTCAACTCTCGTTCAGTACTGACCGCCGGTCGGATGTCGGATACATCCACTACAACTCTCAGGCACGTTTGACCATTGGCCTGGGATTGCATGGGGAGATTTCAGAATTGAGGTTCGGCATTCGAAGTCTATTCTGAGTCATCATCGTTGACGTCGTGACGATGTGGTTAAGAAATATCCCTTGATGAACATGCTATAACGAAATCTCCCCCTTGTTTTGACTTAACCTGAACAATACTCCGACCGATTCCGCCCAAAAACCCGTCAGACTAGGCATTATCACCCGTTCTTTCACAATGTCGCATCCCAAATCAAGATCGAAAAGCTGCTTCAGAGAGACTCTCCGCTCACTCGGTTCGAAGGTGCTGCACGGCCAGTGGTGGATGCGGGCCTTCTGTGCAAAGTACCTATCTGTATTACCTGGTTTCTTCAGAGGCGAGCAACCCGCCAACATGTAACTTCTACATCAAGACTTCTGGCCTTCGGCGACCAATCTGTTCCACTCTTCGTGGCTTTTGGCAATCGCCTCCTTCGCCGACTGATACGTGGTAAGCCGGATGCTGCAAGAACATGACGTACAATTCAATAGATCAATGTTAGGCAGCAGGCACTCTCTTCGAACAAAGACCGTAGTGCCGCTCTGCCGTTCAATGCCATCAGCTGGAAACCGGCAAGATGGTTTCCATTTTTGCGGGGAAATGTCACAACCTGAGCTGAAACGTAGGCCGCTGAAAATTGCAACTCGCAGTGAGGTATTGAAGCATCCATTGCAGCCCTACGGGTGTAAACGGCCCCTGCCACGCTTACCTGCTTGTCGGCAGGTTCTTCAGAGCGTTGATGAAGAAGCCCCGGTACAGTCCAAGGACTCCAGACTTCGCGATAATAGCTGTAGGGAAGAACCGCTCGTCAGAAAGTCCCGCTGAAATTGTTGGATAGTGTCGAGACTAAAATCCCCAGACCATTAGAAGGCCAGTTGCCTGATGCTAGGATGCGGAGGACCCACGAGTCTGGTCCCTTGTCCTCACATTTCCGGTTATAACTCAGAAGAATCACGCGACGAACAGGATCAAAGGTTTGACGCAGGCGTGAAATCCTCAGGGCGCTTCACAACTCGAGAGAGGCTAGGCGTCTCGAGGTCTGATCCTGAGACGGACAATCAAGCGTAACGATCAGGCTTCACGTTGAGCTTTACTAACGCAGCAGAAACACGGTCGCGAAGGTGGCCCTCGCAGAGCGAACGACCAACACCTTTTTCGACAACCGGAAAGCGTGCGGATGGAGTGACTGTCTTGAGTACTGATGACCACGGAACCGACGTCAGGAAAGTTGTACTCCAGACGGTTCGCAAATTAAAACGCATTTCCTGACAATCTTCTCCGGAGAGAGTTGTTCTCAACTACCGGGAGCAGCTCCAACGAAAGCAGTTGTTCGCAGGGGGAGACATAAAAACTGAAGCAGAAGGAAAGAAACGCCCGACGCTATCAAGAGTGCCATACGCTGCAGGCCGGCAATGGAAGCTTTTACGCCGATAGTGCGCGAGCTCTGGGGCCGCTTACCAGGGAACGCGTCGAACAACGAGGTGTATTGGCACCCCCTGACTTGCATCTGCCGACGGATCGTGTCGAGCGGGTAGCAGGTCACTGTCGCCAAAGAAGTGGCGATGACAGCGGTCGCGAACGAAACCTGGGGTGACCGCTGCTGATCCTCGGGAAACGCCTTCTTTACCCTGCAGTATGAGCCGGACGAACAGTCAAATTGAACGCTTCCTTGTTTAGATCGATTTGAACGCCTTCTTTACTCTGCAGCATGAGATAGATTGCCATGTTTCCTTGAGAAAGAATTTGAATATTTCGCAGCTGCCAGTGACTTTCAGACGACTTCAGGCAGTGAATTAGCACCGTAAAAGGTCGAGACATGTTTTGGAGGTGCGTTGGCCCCCTCCTCCATATCAAACGAGTCTCGTCAGCAAAATTGAACGCACAAGAAAGTGGAACCTAGTGAAGGTTCGTGATCTCAGGATGTGCCGGGATATGCCCGTTTAATTCCAGCAGCGATGGGAAAGCAAGAAGCGCCTCGATCCGTGCGTGTATATAAAAGTTTCTAAACAAGCGTTGCGTTGTCATCCGAGCGAAGACGTCTTGAGCAAAAGCCGTTTGTCAAGCTCACAGGTCGTAGGCGCAGAAGTTGATCGCGATGTACGGAGCAATCCCCAGGAGCGCAGGGCCAAGGCCCCGGTAATAGCCTGCGAGACCCTCGTTGCGGAATAGCGTCACTGCAGCCTGCAATCAATATCGAAGTGAGGAATATAGTCGATTCTTACGAAGGCAGGCACCAAAAGTCCATGCGCCTTCTTCAATAGCATGCTCGCAACAGTCGATCAACCACTTTCGACCGACGACCGAAATCTTTCTGCAAAAGATCAGGCACCGCAAGACACGTTCGGAGCAGGTTACAATCAGCAGAAGGTGCGACGTCGACATTGTTGAAGGCTCTCTTGTTGGCGGATAGATGAGCGTCTAAACGACCAAAAAGTACGAAAACTCCTGTGATCATGAGAAAAAGAGGGCCCCGGAAGACACGGATGCAGAAATCCTGGAGAAGCGTCGAAGCAATTACCTGCGACATCGTGCGCATCTCTGGCTCGACGGCCATCTTGAACCTCAGTGTGTCGAGAGGGAAAGTTATCTGCAAGAAGCGGAGTCAATTTTGCCGGAACTGAGCGAGGAGAAGGGATGGGACAAGACTTTCGTAGTGAGAGTCTTGTGCTAGTGCAAATGGAAGTTACTCTACCAATGAAAGACACCGTTGGTCCAAGCAAGAAAACAAAGAGATTGACGAAGATTAGACATCAGCAAGAACACCAGTTGTTCAAAGCGAGACTCCCAGATAGACCATACTGCACATCGGGTTGAACCTGGCCGCCAGACCAGGGTCCTATCTGAGTGGAACGCAAGACTGTGCCCGCTGCGCAGAATTGGACCCTGCGATGACTCTTAAGACTCTTATCGAACGGCCCAAGTTCTGCGGCTCTGGAAAAGCTCTGCGACTGGCTAGATTCGGACTTGGGTCAGGCGGCCAGGTTTGACCGAACCTGCAGTAGTTGCATCTTTGAGATCGTTCAAACTCACCAGAGTCGACGTCATGCCTGCGCAAGCTCCCGCTGCAAGCCTTCCAGGCACCGACAGCTCGTCCCTCTTGCCCTTGAAACATTTCTGCAAGCGAAGGACTCAACGTGAGTACTTGAAATCGTTGACTCTTGCGTGAATCCGAGCCAAAAAAGGGAAGGACTGAGGCCAGTGGACGCTTTCATTGGTCTAAAGCTAGGGCTGCTCGTCGAGACTACTCTGCTTCCTGAAACGGATGGAACTGGCCAACCAAGAGATACACACCTTTGCCACAAGGAGGAAAGCTTTAGGATGAACGGCGTTATCGAGGAGATCTCCAAGTTGATATGATATACTAAAAGAAGGATGCACAGGTATCAATATTTACCTTGAAGAACTCGTAGCTGAAAAGCTGTACGGCACTGTATGGAAGAATCCTCACGACCTGTACATGGAGGAACAGAATTGTTGCAGGGGAGGACGAGAAAGATTCAAAACAAGTCCAGCCAAGGCTCACAACAAACACTGCAAGGATATGGGAAGCTTGCCCTCTCTGCAGAACCAGTCTCAGGGGACACTGGAAAACAGTACAAGGTGCACCTTGCAGAAAGTAAGATCGGATGGCCACGAGTCAAAAGGAAAACTGTCGCCCAAGTGCTAGGCTGGTAAAATACGCATTCAGCGGACAGACAGTAGAAATCGATCAGGCCGTTTACCTGTGGCACATTGCCCTTCCAGAAACCTAGAACGCCTTCTTCTTTGAAGATCTTTGCAACAGCCTGCAAGATGGCAATACTTCAGCGTCTCAGCAATGTGCAACTGTGGATGTCATAGTAAGAGTCTACCCAATGACCTGCAAATGAAAGGCTAACAACCAGTGTCTGAAACTTGTCCACAAAGCCTTCAACTCCATGAGCTTCTATTGCTGTCAACAATCATTGATATGTAGCATCACGTTCTGATTCTCTCATGCTTCTCTGCCATCAGTATCAGATTGATTGGATGACCCGGCATTCGCAAATTGCTTACCCCAGAAAGAGTAACAGCTGCCGCTCCCGCTTTTCTGTTGACATCTTGTACCTGCAGATTGTAACCAAAGTGTCAAGTAAATGATCAAGATAGAAGGTTGTCTTACATGACCCGTCTTCAGATAGGCTTCTATGTGACGTCCATGCTGGTCTTGCTAAGCTTGGCATCAACACTCGTGGATAGCTGTATTCTGGAACCTGACCAACTGCATCATACATCATAAGAAATCTTCTGCGGTCAGTCATGTGACCGACATGCAGATGCGATCACCAGCATAAGGGCTGTCAAATCCAGAAAGCAGAATCAGCAGATGTAGCCTACGATCAAATCTGTCAACGCACCTGCAACAGAAGCTTCAACCTGTCCAATGGCGCCGTAATTGTCTTTGCGGTTGCACCAGCAAGAGCGCCAGCAACGAAAAGGCTGGTATCCTTTGGTACGAAGGCCAGGGCAGCAATGGGGTGGGCCAGGAGTTGTTCCCAAGACGGCCGTGTGACTGCCTTCTTCTCAACTTGGCCCACAGCTGTGGAGACGAAAGAGATAGGTGCTGCACAAGTGCAGGTATTCTCTGAACTGGACGGGGACGACAGACCCTTGGATTGTGTGCAGTGGCCACAACGGACCTGTTTCTTGGTCTTTCGCCGACTACGACGGTGAACCTGATGGCTGTCTTCTGTTCTGCGGTTATGAAGCCGGTCTCTCAGATTAACGGCGGCGGATGTGATGCTAGCAAAACTCAGCGGTGGTGATGTGCCGGTCTGGGCCACCAGGACAGTGTCTGACTGAGAGCTCCAAGTGCCAACACCATCTTCGCTGCTGCCACGAGATCTTGATCCTCCCAGAGACGAAACCAATTGGCTCACGCCTTGTTGGAGATGCTCCTTGAGTGAGGTCACTGCGAAGTGTCCTCCAATCAATTGAAAGTTGCTCGGCACTGCGTCAGAAGCCGACGAGATGTGCGTTTCATCCCCAAGGACAAAGTGGCAATCAGCATCACCATGCCGGCTAAGCTCGCTACCCCACACAGACTCCGCAATGAATCCTGGGATCTGTACACTGCGCAACGAGGCTCTTCTAGGAATGTCCATTCCTCTGCATAGAATGGCAGCTCGCAAAATCTTTTGTTGGCCCCAGCGACCGCAATCACCCTGATGTGACAAACGGCTACAATGTGCTGGCCTCCAGCGACAGGGACTAGGCACGTAGTGCACGATGGCAAGTCCTCGACTTTACCACCCTTCAACGTGTCTCCAACCTATTTTCCCCGTCCTATGTAACAAAGGAAGCGCTCTCACCCTCAAACAAGCCCTTCAAGTTCAAGGGAAGCGTCATTTGTTGTTTTCACCATGCTGCGTTTGCAAGTCCCCAGCTTGTGTGGTGGCTCTCTCTATCAATAATCAAGCAGAGTCCAGATCTTGGGAGTCAAATTGGTGTCAAAGTACATGGATTGTATCATGATACACGATAACTTGACACAGCTTGACAATCTGGCTGCAATGAGATCTGCTGCGCAATGCTGCCTTGCAGAATCGGGCAGAGTTGGGATGCCAGATGGTGGCTAGGTGCAGGTAGCACTACTAGGGCCCGGGGGGAGCGGCTTGGAATGTAGAGCAATGGCTTCCTGTGCAGTCCCATTTGCCCAGCGAGCAATTCACTTTTCAGCAGACTCTGATGACGAAACTCCACTCCGAACGATGTCAGTCGCTGCATTGTATGCAAGGGACGACTGTTTCAGAAAGGTGAGCACACGAATAACCTTCGCTGGCATGATACTCAATTTGAAAGTGGGAACTCCGTCAAGAAAGTGGGAACTCTGAAGTGAGCTTAACGCACGATGCCAATAAGCGGACTATCTCATGCTTGCGGGCAGTGCTGGCGACATTTAGTGGAACTGGCCCTATCAAACAATGCTGCTCCTTTAGATATCATTCTGGCGGTCGTTTTGACATCTCTGACAGCACCTAGGTGATCCTGGACAGTGTGACCTCTTTTCTAGGGCCATCCGTCACCCCGAACCTTTTCAATTCTAGCATATACAGACTACTTTTCAAACCAATCCTGAAGCCTGTCCTTGCAGGCCTTCAAGCGAAAGAGGGCCTCTGAGGAGGGGGCAAGCGACTCCAAGCAGAAGGAGATAAAAAGTCAGCAAGCTGGAGGGGAAGGCAAGGCCAAGAAGGAAGCGTTAGTGACTGAGAACACAAACCCAGGCCTAATGTGTCCTGCTAGAGTAGCATGCAAGGTAGAGGAGGTCCAATCAGTTGACCCAGATGTGGCGCGACAAACCAGGACACCAAGTCTTGGGCTCAAACTCCCATCAAAACTGAACCAGATGAGAGGGCGGAACGAGCGAGGGGAGCGAGAAGGAAACAGTGGGGGTCAAGAAGGGGCTTGAATCTAAAAGATTCAGAAAACTTGACAGGAGTTCGCCGTGCCTCGTCTGCAAATCTGAACAATGGCGCAGTGGGACTTGAAGCACGCAGACACTCCGTCAAGGTGAGATTGCAACAGGATACAGACTTTGCAGGGAGCAGGCTGTCCGCTCTTCACTGACAATTGAATATGCCCCACAGATTGGGGCGTTGAAGCTTCAAGCATTTTCCATTGTCAATTGCGATTCAGCCCACAGGAAACTCCTGTACAGCGGGCCCTATTCTCTCAGAACAGGATGAAGTCTGGTTTACAAGCCCCATCACTTGCATTATGTCCAAGCTTCTTCGGGGGAAGTCTAGGATCTTCAACAAAGTACCTGTGCTTTTTCTGAATCGGACTCACAAGCGTAAACATCTTTTCAACTCAGAGGCTTTGCTTGGAGATCTCCAGTGGCTAGCATTCTACCCAGCGATAATTGAAAAGAGAGGGTTGACAGAATGATGCCTTATCAAAGTAACCTAGAGGTCATTTTGAGCCTTCAACTAGGATTTCTGAGCTCGGACGAGTGATTGATGCTGGTAGAGAATGCCTGCTTAGTTTGGCAGGCCATTCCGCTAAGCGGCGCTCTGCTTGCTGCCACCAATTAATATGCGTCTTGTTGGCTGATTGAACATACTGCTGCTGCCTGGGCCTGGACTGCTCTCCTTCCTGTCAAGAAGACTTTGAGATGCTTGAAGATAGTAATACCTCAGTGCCTGTTAGACATCCTGTCATACTCATACAGCAAAACCAAGTGCGTCACCCAACTCGTCTCACTTGGCCCAAATGAATTCTATAAGTAGGCAAATCATCTCATCTGCAGAAGGAAGCCTGCGTTGGTGAGCCCGTGCGCATCAAGCGAGAAGCGGGTGCGGACGGTGGGGGCTCTTCTGGGGCCACTTCAATTGCTCCAGTCAATGTCATCGACCTGGATGGGCCCAAAAGTGCAGCCACTTGAGTGCGGGTGAGTTCATAGTGTCCTGCCTGCTCAGCCGATCGGGGAACCAATGAGTAGACGGTATTGAGACACTGACTTGGAACTGAATCTGGAAAACTTGACTCATGAGATGTGGCCTATTGTTGGTCGCTCGATTCTAAGAGAGGCCGTTATCCATCTCCTCGCTTGGACTTAACGTGGCCACCTGTGAAATCGAAGTCCATCTGACACCATTTTTGATGACCAGCTCAGATCTAGAGAAGGGCTAATGAGGATCGAATGACCGACAGATCAAGCTCGAAGTTGCTGGTTCTGAAGGCAGTCTTCGTTAAGCAAGACAGAATGGTAATCGGAACAGCTTTTTTCGTCGTTAGAAAACCAACGGGGGTCTGGCTAGAGCGGCAACCTGCGTACCCTATCCCGCTAGCGCCTGGCACAGTTGTTCAATAGACTTCATGCTCAACTAACTTTTCTCAAACTTCGTTTGCAGATGTTGCTATGGGTCGGTCACCCACTTCTCTTCGCTGCACTGCGAAGCCGGCCACCGCCTCTGCATCAACTGCATCATCAAGCGCGCCAACGGAATAGTCTTTGACAAAGAGAGCGACGCGGCGTGGGGCCTACAATGCTTTGCGCTTTCGGAGAGCGAGTGCCCCAAAGCCCTCTCACTCGAAGTCCTGCAGGCCTTACTGCCTGAGCCCCTCTACGAAAAGTTGAGGCTCAAGTGCTTCAATCAAGATTACCCTTTGGAAAAAGACAAGAGGAAGTTAACAAAGAATGTGTTGTGTCCCAGCTGCAAAGAGTGGTGGCGAGTAGGCACGAGGGCGACTATCATCTCTACGGATCCAATCCTAAAGCACTTCTGTAAGAGCACGTGCATCCGCTGCAAGCAGATATGGAAGCAGGGCCATAAGTGCGCAGCACAAGCAGGAGCCGAAGAGGGGACGAGCGAGAGGATTGCCGATGCTCAAGCGGGACAAGCCACCCAGACGAAGAGAAGCCTGAAGTCGAACGCATGCAAGGCTTCGATCGGAAAGAGGTTTGCTGGTGCTGAGAAAGTCGAAAAGGTGGCGAGGAGGAGTAGACGGGCGGAAGGGGGCGCTCAGGGGCAGAGTTGTGCTTCCGAAGCGGTTTGGGGCAGTGGCGACATGAGTCGGGGGCCAGACAGAAGCAGCGGTTCAAGGACCGAAGAAGACGAGCTGCGGCTTCAGCGGGAGGAGGCGCTGACTGCGGCGGTGCTGTCCAGCTGCCCTGAGTGCGGGGTGGAAGTGGACAAGAACAACGGCTGTAACAAGGTGCATTGTGGAAATTGTCGTACGAGTTTCTGCTTTCTTTGCAAGTCCGTTATACGGAGGGGTGAGGGCTATACCCATTTCTCTGTCCATAGCACTCGCGAGGGTACACAGGAGAGGTGCTCGGAGTGCGGGAAATGCAAGACGAGCAGTACGAACAAGAAGAGAAAGGATGAGAAGCGAGCGGAGGTAGAGAAGAAGTTCCAAGATATAGAGGCCAGCCGAGCATCATCTTGAGATTTGATAAGTAGTCTCCCTTGTGTCTAACTAAGTCGCCCAAAGTACACTGACTTTGTGTGCACTCATTGTCACTGGCAAGAAGACATAGTTTCTGGGAGCCATCATCACGCTAGCAATTGCTGATTGCGGACCAGGTGGCGCCCTGCAGGGAATAATATAGCCGACACGCCAGCTGCTCAATCATGCATGTTGACCAGATGATAGCCTGCTGTTTGACAACAGTTGTTTGATGCTAAATCATCTCGCAAACTCGAAACCGTCTGCAGCACTTCAGGCGCGCGCTGGCAATCCGTGCCGCAACATGCTGGCAAGTGAGTCGTTGATCGAATGTACTGCAAGCAACGGATCGATCACACGTGCATGATTGCCGTCAGCATCTTGCGCACGCCTCAAGATGAACGTCACTTAGGGCACATATACTAATGAGTCGGGCATATGAGAGCTAGGGGCATGTAACTCAAGGAAAGCCAGCTAGCCTGAGCTAAGCTAGCAAGACTTTGATGACATGAAGCGTCGTGAAGCTATGCTATGAAAGTCTTTATATACATTAGTAGTCGCTCAACTTCAGGCTTGACGCCACCGCGCAACATGTGTCTCAAGGGCATGCATGGCATGTGATTGCAACATAGAGTTACGAAGTCAGAAATCGGAGGGTGCCAGCTCGGAAGATTTGTATTCTGCAGATACGTAGCTTTCTATAAGCTATCTCCGACTGGCCTGGTGATTATGAACATGGTCAACATGCATAAGTTTCTAGCTGGCATCGGCTGTATCAGGGCATGAAGCCATTTGAAGCTCTAAAAGACAGCTCAAGGAGTAGCCAGCCAGGAGAAGATGCAGACATAAGATTAGAGTGAAGTGTCCTGAGTCCAGCCTGATCACATGAAGTCCGCCTTTGGCGTGAATGGAAGTTAGAGAAGCCTGCAGAGCCCCGTGGCAGGACTCGAACAAGGCCTCATGAGGCTGAGCGCATCAAAATCTGTCGGTAGCTGACTTCGAGTTACAATCAACGCGCTAGATGAGGTGGGATTTGGGTGGAAGCAGTGTTGATTTGGGCGCAGGGCATTGCCTGTCAATCAGAGAACATCTTACTTCACAGCTTCAGCATGTCGCCAAAACAAGGGACTGGCACAAAAGTCTACATCAAGTCCATCACAGTTGTTAGTTTCAAGTCGTTTGGAGACACGAAGCAGCATTTTGGCTTTGGCCCTGGGCTCAATCTGATAGCTGGGTGAGTACAAAGGAAATGGGGTCAGAGGTAGACCACTATCTCCAATTATCGTGACTGAGGGTCGTTTGAGGTCACTGCTCAGTAACTGCGCAGACTGAGAAACGCATATCTGCTGATCTGCAGCTTGCCTTGCAATTTCCATGAGCTGTGGATGAACTGTAATCTGCAACTCCTGAGCTACGTTTTCTTGATATTGGAGTTTCTGCGTACAGGCCCAATGGAGCTGGGAAAAGTAACGTTCTCGGTGAGAATCGGAAAGGGCTGTTATGACCAGTCATATGTTAGGTCTCTGTGGACACATTCTTTTGCAGGATTTGAGTCTATAGGTCTTGCTCAAACATACATCAGTAACTGACAAATCTCATTGTGTTTCCCAAAATCCGCTATATAATTGTTTCCAAGGTAGCTGAGGATGCGTGAGTTTCTGCCTTTCAATCAAAAAGCTGGACAACAAAAGATGTGCAGCTTCGTCGTTTACTCTTCTGCAGATGCCGTGTCCTTCGCACTATGCGCAAAGCCAGCTTCTTTGCGAGTTCAGCATCTTTCTGAACTGCAAAGCACGGATACGGATGAGCCGTGTGAGGTGGAGCTCAAGATTGCAAGCCAGAGCACAGGAGAGAGCCTCAGGATCTTCACACTGGAGGCTCGTATCTTACCAGATTCAACAAGACAGTACAAGTTGGATGGAAAGCAGAAGACCATGAAAGATGTCAAGGTAATCAGGACTTCCGATACTAGGTCAAGGTTCAACATGGACACATCAGCTGATGGTTTCATGTGGAGAGCTAGCGCGAAGTTGATTATTCTCTTTTGTTTTGGCCGGCATGCGAACGATGTGTACACTTGATGTCGTGGACTGCTTCTCCGACTGGTAATATGTACACAGCTGAGTTGACTCTGATTCTTTCCTTCTTTAGGAGTTCTTACGGGACAGCCACCTACTGCTCGAGGACGCTTTTGCAGTCCTGCACCAATCTAAAGTAACGGAGCTAGCCGACAACAACTCTGCCTCTGTCATTGCTTCTGTAATATCGAGCGCGTCAGGTAAGCGAACCACTTGTCATTCTGAGATTACTTTTCGAGGTTTCTTGTCAGAATGAAATTGAAACGACTTCATTGAACCTGTCGCAAGGTGCATAAGCCGAAGAACGACATATTGATATTTTATCAAATTACATGCATCAAAGAGCTAGGGACGTTGCTTACCTCAACATCCCCCAGCACCGCGTAGCCTAAATAGATCAATATTGATACAGCGGGCGAGAAAATGCAGGTGCTGGGCGTTGGGACGAGGAGGTCAGCCGAGCCGTCGAGGAGATCTCAAACACACGCAAGAGTCTCGCCGCTATCAACCAGAATGTTTCTCTCCTGGAAAAGGCTATTGCGTTGGACGAAGAAAGAGTGCGAGCGATGGATCGAAAAAAGCAGGTAACAAAACAAACTTGCAGTTTGAGTCTCGATTTTGTTGCATGAAAGCTTCTCATTTCGAGCTTTTTGGGAAGTCGAAGAAGCATCAGACTTTCCGGTCCGATTATCTGTGAAACAAAGTGCATTTTGAACCAGACACCTTTTCTGAAATGCAGATCGAGCATGATCTAGAAGGCGTACAGACTCGGTTGAAAGATTACGCCCTCAGAAAGCTCGCCAGCCTCCAGGAGGACACGGACGACACTAATGAGCAACTATCCAGAACGGAAAAGGACAAGTCGAGATGGCTAGAGGAAAAGAACGCGATAGAAAAGCTAACCGCAGCCACTCAAGGCAACGAGGATGAAGATACGAACTCCGTGGCAAAGGAGCGAGTCGAGCTCCTGCAGAAGGTGACTCAAGCAGAGGAAGAGCTTCAAATCGAGAAACGCAGACTGGAACAGGTGAGCCGCCCCGTGACTAGAAGGGAGATTTTTCCACCGTTACATCAATCTCTGGACGAACTTGATGTGTTTCTGTCTCAGCCCTCATGCACCATTGTACAAGTAGGTCCCAGCTCTCATAAAACGGCTCCGAATCAATCATTTGACGATATGTCAGATCCTTAATAGATTCCCTATATTAATTATGTTTTGCTTTGTGTGCCCACCTTCGAGAATCCCGACCGATCTCACGGCGGGAAGGCATCAAAAAAGACTTCAACATCGCCCCTTCTTTGCAGGGAGCGACAGCGGAGTTGCAGCTGCAGTTTGTCCAACTTCAAGTCCAGCGCTTCGATCAAGCTCACGAGCAAGCATTGCGGGCTCTTGACGAGAAGCAGGAGATTGTCTCACGCATGGAGCAAGACTTGAAGCGCCTTTCGCGGCTCGGATCTCAAGGCGGAAGCAAAGGACATATCCAAGACATCATCAACGGACTAGAGAATGAAATAAGAGCGGCAGAGATCATCAAGAAGGATCAAGCAAAGAGGGTGGAAGAAGCTGCTCTCGCAATAACAGCAGCAGAATTCAAGGCAGAAACGCTCCGCGAGAAGGTACGGAGCAGCAAGGAGCGGAACAGGATTTTCGATAACGAGCGCTCGAACGAAATGAATGTGCGCGCCGAGCTTGACGCTGAGCTGGAGCGCCTGTCAAACGAGAGAGACAAGCTTGAGAAGCTCAAAGAGGGGACAGAAAGAAAGGCTTGCGTGGCTTCTGCCTTACTTGGCAGGCTGAGCGGCGACGAGGCAAAGACTCCGGCGTGGAGCTTACACTCACTCTTCCGCTTCAAGTCCGAGGAGCGCCTTCAATGCGAGCAGTACCTGGAAGCCCTGAGCGCAATCACAGGTTCGTAACTGATTTGTACGGCTGTTTAAGAAGCGGGCTGATGCATATCCTCATGACCAGCTAGGCTGTGCGAAGTTTGCTTAAAATTTCTAATTGAATCCGTTATTAAGGAACGTAAAGATGATACGTCCATCCAATTTGGTCCTTGTTCACGACCAGCCTCTTTCATGCTCGAATATTCAACCTAGAGCAGCAATATGGATTTCCATTGTTTCAAATGTTTGCTAACACGACTCTGAATCTTTCTGCAGGGTCGCTTCAAAATGTTTGCGTCGTGAGGACCACCCCGGACGCTGGACGGCTGCTAGAGCTCTGGCAGTCCACCGTTCGCGACAGCCCTTTCAGGCGCATCTGGCCGCTCGACCGCCTGACAAGCCCTGATGTCGCTTACAAGCAGAGAAAGGCCCAGGAATCTTTCAAGTCCGGCGAAGTAACCCTTCCGCTCGACCTTCTCAATTTCAGTCCTGAATTCTCCAAGGCTCTAAAAAAGGCCTTCGGAGGTTACGTCATAGCTGCCAACGATCGGGTAGCTCGCGACCTGATCTCGAAGCACGGGCTGTGGAACGTGACGTTGGATGGCAATGTTAGCAGATCGGGCTCAGTGCAGGGGGGCTGGCGAGGAGCGTCCGGGACTTCTTTCATTGGCAACAAAATCAAGTGCGACTCCTTGTGGCGTGAAGTGGAGACATCCAAAACGAGGTCTGGCGAACTCGATCAGGTCAGCTCCAACTCATAGCGTGATCGAGCAGATTGTTAAAAAACATAATTCTGCCTTCTACTCTGACCTTGAAACGAGAATCTCGCTTGCAAACCGCTTCCGACGTCAAGGTCTACATGAAGTTTACTTGCTTTGTGGTCACTTGACTTTTGCCTGTTTTAAAATTTTAAAATGCCCAAAAATAAACCAACAAACCGGGCTGGTGACACAGTCGTGGTCATTGAAGTCTACTCAATCTTCCAATGCAGAAAATCGAGCATCTTCGCCAAGCGCAGGAGCAGATTGCTCGGAAAGCGGTCGAGGAAGAAGCGCGCGTGCGCGCGCAGGAAGAAGAGATTGACCAGGTAACCTACTGTCACAACCTGGCAATCTCCCGTTTCGTATCGAGTAGAAAAAGTTTAAGACAGCTTTTTATGAATCATGTTTGCCCCTGTTTATCTGGCCTTCTACTGAAGGGAGCATGTATTTGTGGCTGAAGCTGCTTCGAACCGCGTTCCATCATGTAATCAACCAGAAATAGGTAAACTCCTTGTAAGATGGAAGGTGAAGAGATCAGCTCGATGAAGTTTACGTAACCTTATTTCCGTTTGACGAGGTTTTTGGAGCCATGTCAAGTTAAGGTATCCTTGGAACCCCAAAATTTACCGTCGTCCGTTGCATCCAAACGCAGCTGAGTCATGCGGAGGTCGCGCTCTTCCAAGCGAAGCTATCCAAAGAAGAGTCTGAGCAGAAGCTGGAGTCTCTATGTCAAGATCTCACGACCAAACAAGCACGCCTCCGGGACTACCAAACGTCAGAAGAGGCTGGATCCGAAGAGGAGGCATTTGCAAAAGCTCTGGAGGCCGCAGTGGACGAGGAGACGGCGCAGCAGAACGCGGTCGACGAAGTGCTGCGCAAACTGGAGGAAGCGAGAGAAGAGGAAGCTACATTAAGGGAAGAGGTGCGCCTTCAGTGGGACCGGGAATGCATCGAAAGCTTTCATTGATGCGACAAGGAATCTTCAACACCCGGAATAGGAGCCGAGTCTTTCCGAAACTTGATAGGATGCAGGATCCAACGGACGGAACTAGAAAGCACGATAAATGATATCTGTAGAAGTGTCTCAAGAGTAAACGTCTTTAATAAGCCAATCAACGCCCTCATCATCTGTGGTAAAGCTTTGAAAGTCCTGGGCTCAGTGAAATCGGAATGCTCAGCCGGAGCGATATCCTGTTTCTTGGATCATGGAGATCCTGCTGCATCGATCCCACTGAATTGCCAGCTTTTTATCCAATTCTGGTCTGTCCGTTTTACAGATGAGCGTCGTCCTGGATACCAACTCAGAAGAGCGCATTCGAAGCACGACCGCGGCTCTCGAAGCTCACCGACAGGACCTGGCGCGCGTCGAAGCGCTCCAAGCTTCCCAACTGGTCGCCCGAAAGAAGATGTTGGAGGACAGGGCAGTGGCCCTGAGGAGAGCGCAAGAGTGCGAAGAAGCAATCAGACAGAGCTCAAAGGCGGCGGAAAAGCTAGAGAAGCAGAAGGGCCAACTGACAGAGAAGAGAAAGGCTTTGGAAGAGGAGATTGCGGAGCTAGCGAACGAACATGAGGTAAGCTCATTTTTAGTTCAGAAAGCCCTGCCCAGATCAATCCCTGCGTTTGACATGTGTTGTTTATGGTTCTGCATCTGACTTGCCTATATGTGCAAGCGCTGGGAGCCTCACTCATGTTCGTTGTATTGTAAAGTGTTTAGCCGGACCTTCCTATAACAAACATCGGATTCCCTTGCACTTCGAATGTGTCAGCGTACTTCATCGATGCAGGACGACCAAGAAGCCCTAAAACTCAAGGATCCCATCGAAGACGAGAAACAGTATGCGGCAGCAAAGGCACGACGGCGCCACCTGATAAGCGAGAAGAAACGCCTGGCAGGGGAACAGCAGCGGGTCACGATGGACGAGCAAGTGGCGTTCAAAGAGCGCGTGGAAAACCTGCAGGTAATTCTCTTTCATCAACTCTCTCACTTCCTTCGACGACCTCTGTCAAGTCGTAAGCCTTGGTTTGTTGTTCATATTTATCTCCGCGCGACGGCGTTATCCTGTTGGATTCTTCAGTAGACGCCTGATTGGCCGCTCGCTAGTGACCTGGGTATTCAGTGACACGGCTACATTCCGCAAGATTGGAAGTTCGACCTGGCTTAGCTGTCCATGGATGTGATTGAATTCTGAAGAGTTCGTTCTAGTATCACAAACGATTCATTCAAACCTTTGATTCTTCTTGAGAGCCTTAAATACATGCCAGTAGAGTAGCTCAGCCACGGGCTTAGTGTGCATCGGAAAAGTCACAGGGTTATTTTGCAGGTGTTCAAAGAGAGAGCCGAGTCGATACTGGTGTCCATCGAGAAACTGAATGAGGGCATCCGCACGACGCGCGACAAGGTTCAGAAGGCGAACGAGGCGACCTTCAAGAGTATCAGGACTATGTTCATCGATTGCTGCAAGTCACTGCTGCCAGACAAAAGGTAGGCTGAAGAAATGGGGTCAAGAACAAGATTGCAATTTTCCCTTTGATGACTGGGAAGTCTGCTAAATCTGAAAGACTTACAAAGAATCGCGGTGGACACAAACACTAAAGGAACCAGGTGCACCACTTTTGTCTCACGTTGCAAGCCCGAATCCACCAAGCGTCTTAGCTTCTATGGTATATCGTCCAGAAGACCGCACACTCCCTACGTTATCCAGGCCCAACGGCGTTTCTATCAAGCCTCTCAGATTGACCCTCCCCTTCTGCATGCAGGGTTGATCTCGTGAAGGTCAAGGAACACGTGGAGGACGGGGTGAAGTTTCTTTTCCAGAACGCAAGCACGGGCGTAGCCACCGGGCGCTGCAACCAAGATTCGGAGTGGAAGAGCAACCTGGGAGAGCTGTCAGGTGAGACCAGCACGCCTGGATTCACACTTTTATGCAAGCGTAGGGTCAGATTCATACTCATGGTTCAGCAGCCCTTCGGCGCCTAGAATTATGTCATAGGTCTAATGTTGGTTCCATTGTGGCAGTGAAATATGGTGCTTTTAAGATCCGCACCTCATGACGAAGTTGTCTTCAGACGAAAGAGAGAGCTAATCAAGGACGTTCACTCGGACTTCACGAGCGCTGAATTTTTGTGAGCGCACGCATCACCTTCTTCTCTCAGATATCAGCAACGGGCTTTGAGTAAGGAGGGCTTTTGCTCGCTCAGAGATCAAATCATCAGAGCTGCGCTTCTAAAGCCTCCTCAAACCTGCAGGCGGCCAGCGCACCATGCTCAGCCTCGCTTTCATCCTGACGGTCGCCATGAACGGGCGGAGCTCCCTGTACATCATGGACGAAGTCGATGCCGCTCTCGACGAGCAGAACCAGAGGCGCGTTGCTGCGCTCATCAAGGCAAGCCCAGCACCACGTTCAATATTGCAGTCTAAAGTGTTAATTCTGCTTGTTATGTGTTTTTCAATCACTAGATTTCTTTCCCTTGTACCGCATGAATCCCTGATCTGATTGAATAGAGCCGGGGGGAGAGCCTTCGCTCCTTCCTGCCTCAGAACCTTTTCATCCTAAGGGTTGGTCCGAGTTCCATGCAGTGATAGTGTCGTTCAATGAATTCAGCACGTCTCAAGGCAGTCGAGATCGTCGTATAACTGGCGCTACTGACCTTGCAATCCCAAAGCTTGATTCAGACGCCGGTGGTCAGGAAGAAAAGAGGTTGTTTGGATCTGACCCCTCGTGCGCTGGCTTTTTCTAGGACGTCATCTCGAAGGAGAGCCAAGTGCTCTGCGTCAGCCACAACCGGTCGTTCCAGATGTTCAGTGACACCGTTATCCAGCTCTCGAGAAGGGAAGGTTCGTCGAAAGCGGACGCTGTCTTTGCTACACAGGCTGCCCAAAAGAAGCACCGGCAGAAGTGATTGTAAAGGATTGCTGGTCCTTACAGGGTCAGTGATAACCACCATCATAGAAAAGGAAGGAGAGAATCAGATGTACATGCTTGGCTGAGGAAGTTTATAAGATTCTCTGTTTTGCAATGCATCCAGCATGTAGCATCACATACGGCTTGCCTGGATCTCATACTGCGATCAGCATCAGCTCTGTAGTTCGACAGCTTCGGCCACGACGTTTGCAGAACTGTTAAATGATGGTTGTCTAAGCGTTTTAAGAATAATTCAATGATGCTCCAAAGAATCCAAGAAGATACTGGTAGTGAGCTGGGATGTGTATCTTGGTGGATGATTCTGAGTCCGCACTTCGGTCGGAAACATACGTCGTATGGGTGCTGGTCTTCTGGCGGTTGCTTGGAATTGGATGTAGTGACAGTAATCATGGATGCTTTGATGAGCATAATTTAATACATAGCCTGGCCGTCGCAGCGCAGCGAAAGCAATATTAACGGCCCCCGAGATAGGGGAATGATAATGACGGCTTCTCAATCCTGTATTCCCAAAACCATGCACAACCACTACGCATACCAGGCCATCCGCTTGGCGGTCCGCCGCGTGCCGAGAACTGGTGCCCAATCGAAAGCACTCCGTAGCTTTATGGAAAGTTTTCGTGCAATGTTCAATATGATGCTTGCGGAATCTGGCTTCTCAAGTACTCTTTTGAAACCACAAAACAAAAGAGCTCGGCTGTCTAATAGGTCTCACTCTATACATAAGTTGTCAAGAAGTCCTCAAGGCAGTCGCTTAGCTGCTTCGAAGCATCAACATCCAGTTGCAGAAACCAAGTCACTCAGAAAGCCCCGCCCGAGATAGGAGACCAAAGTTCTGTAGTAACAACGCGCGGTTGTATCGAACGATCTTAACTCGTTGAAAGAAAAGTGCTTCTTACTACCTGGCACAGTCTGGACTACTTGACGATTGCTGACGCTTGCCACAGTGACCGCTTCGTTCGGCATGGGAAAGATCTTGATGTTTGAAAGGAAGGAGTGATCGATGAAACTCTGGTTCCTGCATGAACGCAAAGATTGAATTTTGTGCAAAGCAAGTTTCGACTTTGAAGAAGGACAAACTACTAGCGAACCTAGACGACCATTGAATTTGAAAAGCTTAATTTCCAAGCTGGCCTTGGGGCTTGAGAAATTGTAGCATTCAAAGAAACCTTCACCACAAAAGCATGGAGAGCACTTTTCTTACTGATCGGGAGAGGAACAACTCAAGAGGAGTTAATTGTGCGGACTCAACTTGTCGTCAACAATTACTCGTCCTCGAACCTGGAGAAAGAGACAGGGACTTACTTTTCAGCGGATCCCTTGATTGGATACTCAAACCTCGCGGAACGTCGGTAGTAAACCGTCGCTAACTGCTCTCTGACGGACAAAGTCTCGAGTTCAGACTTGATAGTCGTGAGCTGCTTCCACGCTTCGCGTTTGCCGTCTAGGGAGACTTCTTGCTCGCTAACAAACCCATAATCTTCACCTATCTGCAAGAAGGAAACAGCAGGTTTCGGGTAAGCAATTTAATCTGGCGGAATCTGTCTTCAGGAGCATCATAGCAGATGGATCAGGCCAAGTTGAAGGAATTTAACTGCTCGTCTGACAGATGGAACGTTCAAGTTAACCAGAGGAATCAATTTAACCAGACAAGTCCAGACAAATCAGGGCGAGTAGCCTGCTAACCGCGGCTTTGATCCGTCGCTTTTCCAAGGACCTTTTACCATTCGGCAGCTCAGACTTTCGTCAGTGTCTTGCGAAGAAGATCTGACTGACCTACCGCAGCCTGACAACATCGAGCAATTCTGCCCATCTTTAAGTAGGACACGTCCTCTCAATGGGCGCTAACCGTTGTGGTCAAGACGTCTCCTTCGGAAGTCACTACGGATCCCCGGGCTCGTAACGTACGGTTAGCAGTAACCCGAAACCGGGTGACGTTTTCATTGACGTCGAGTGAGACGTTTTGGGCTGTTTTGGACAGCCGTTGCGGCTCCGGTGTGACGTCATACTCTTCTAGAACGGCGAAAAGAGGCTCCGTTGCGTTGGGGTCAAGGTAGAGCTGCAAATTGGCGTCCACCTGTTGTGCAGAAGGAAGCGCTTAGTGCAGGGTTAGCGCGGGATCAGCGTAAGGCTAGCACTTATAGCCCTCGAATGTTGCTTGTTGAGCGCTTCGTTTTGTGCAGGTTTGGAGACTTGAATCCGCAAGAGAGGGCGGTCAGGTTTCCACAAGAAGTGTAGGATAATAAGTTACTCAATACAAACCGTTCTAAGCTCGTAACGGTTTGTCTTCGCGTGTGGCTTAAAAGGTCCACAGCTTCAGACGCGCCTTAAAGAAGTGCACGAAGACTGCGAACGGCGCAAGTCCGGCCGCCTGGAGCTCACTTCCTCAGAACAAATTTATTTCTTGCTGGTCTTTCCTGCTGCTCTGTTAAGCAGTTAAGACTTTTTGCTATGACGACAATCTCCTATATTCTGTGAAGCGTGAAACGGCAACCCGAACCGAGCGCGCACGCAGCTAATCAGAGGCCGCATCTGTAAACCCGCACGGTTCAGCTTATATCACTTGGCTGTTGACCATTACCTAGGTCACTGGATCCAAGCATGTAAGAAATTGCGAATCAGCCCGAAGTTGAGCAAACCAATTCTTACGAGCCAAAACTTCCCGACGGTCTCGCCCATGTCGAGCGTGAAAGTATGCGGCTTCCCATCGTTGAAAACGCTCAGAAACGGCGAAACGTCAACGGAAGTCGTGGGTGCGTTGAACGCCCCGATTGCCACAATGGGCGACCAAAGCCGCGGGTCAAAGCCCCCGGTGAAGATCACCGGGAACGGCCAAACGACGCCGACCACCGTTCCGTCGATCAGGAGCCGGATCTGCGCTCGCGCGGAACGGAAAGGTGGATGGATTGGAAGGGTGTTTTGCTGCAGAAGTGTAAGCGAGACGCAGAGCAGTTTGCTCTAAAAGGCTCGATTTCCTGGAGGTGAGCCCCTTCGAATTAAAGAAAAGCAAATTTGAAACAATGTTCAAACTTCGACTTTACACGCTCCGCGCACATACCCACCCTAACCCCCTAACTAACCTCACCCATCTCACTACGCCTTCGATTACGTTTCCATTCATGGCGCTAATGACCCTCCAGTAAAGCTCTAAAAATCATCTGGAATCTCTCGCCAGGCTTGCACCCGGATAAGATGCATTTCTAACCTGACAACGAATCCAAAGGAGCTCACCTCCTTAAACGCCCCGGTTGGTTCGTACCGGGAGGGCGGATAGGTGTACCAGAACTCTTGCTCGTCTCTTCCGAGCCGGCAGTCGGGACCGGAACAGGAGCCTGGAGGATCCCAAGGGAACATAAGACACTGGCAGGGTTTTCAAAAGCAGGCTATGGGGCCAGGAAACTGCTGACTTTTACGCAGATTGTTCACTTGCGCACGGTAATATTACAAGCAGCAGCTAGGATCTGGAACACTCTTGGCCGAGAGCCTTGCAAACCGTTTTTACGGGGCGCCTGATTTTGATCATGACGATACGGCAGGGTGCATGTTTTGCGACGGAGAAAGAGGAAAACAGAGCGGATGCGGATGGGGATCGAGCGGACAGAGCGGATTCCGCTTGCGGCGACAGAATCATTTCAGCCGGGCGCTTTTATTACCTTGAGCGCTGTAGTATACTTCAACGATTGCGCGCAGCGTACTTGTAGGGACTGATATAAAGTTTGACAAGCTGCAGCAGATCGCGTGGATTGAACCATCGGAGGTTTGGGTGAAGCTTCTTCGACATGCGAGTGAGAGACAAGCCGAGTGTCATCGACAGATGGACGACCAAAAGATAGAACTTTTGACGGAGATGATATGACAGTGGAAGTTTGTAAAACTTCACCGCAGAGACGTGGGCCCTTTTCAATGCTTTGAAAGGGATAGATATAAATTAAGAGACGGCCCATGAAAGCTGAGGCTTGAAGGAAACGAGACTCACTTGAGGGGCCCTTCTGGCTGGATGGAGACCCAATAACCTGGAAGGCACGTGGAGAGTCGATTCATCAAGCCTTGTTTGAGAGCAAAGAGGGTAAGTCAACCGGTGATCATTGGTAAATCAGTTGGCAGAAAGCCATTAAACTTTCGGAAGCAAATATGGGGGTGCGTAAGCGAATCAGGTCTCACCGGCTGGAGAACCAAAAGCAGGAGAGGCACGGCTTACCGTTTTCGTAACCGTTGCGGAGCGGAAGGATGACGTCAGGTACCACCGCGCTGGGCCCGTTGATAGGGCCAGACGCGTAAAATGCGAGCGTGATTTGTACGGTGTACACCCCGGTGAGGTTGCCTCTCACGAGGTTACTCTGGGAAAGAAACGGCTCCCGTTAGTTGATTGCGCTTTGACGAGTACAATAAGGTCATTAGCGACCGAGGATGTTTGTGAGCTCTTTTCGATAATCGACTGGAAACTATCTTGAAGTACAGAAACGCTCTGAATGCGACGCGGGTCCCAAGAATCAGAAGCCTCACATTAAAGAGACACTGCCAACATAAGGAAACGGATCAGGTAAGGCCCCACAGCTCTTATGAAGAAATGGATGAATAGTTGCAAGTAACGGAACGGACTGGGGGGAAAGCGGTTAGATGCAGTTAGATCCGGCATTTCATCATGGCAGCCCAACAAACAAACAGTGGCTTTGAGCAGTCAGGAGATGGTGCAGAAGGGGTTAGCAAACGAAGCTCACACCTCTCATAATTGAAATTTGTCGTTTTCTAATAATCAAGTGCTCTAGCAGTGGGCTTGGGAAACGTTTGCAACAGCTTCAGCGCACCAGTTGCACGTTGATTGGCTGCGCGGTTCGAAAGAGGGCGGCATACTGGATGACGTCCTTGTCGATCGTCCAGCGCACGCAGCCGCGGCGCGGCTCCGCGGTCGAAGTCCGCAGAATCTGGAAAAATCAGATGTTTTTGCAAGGCTAGCTTCGCTAGCTTGGCGCCAAGAAGAAATGAGTTGTCAGATTCGGCACCGAAGTCGATACGCTCAGATTCTTGGCAAGAAGAAGGAACGCCCACATTGTTTTCAGGTATTCAAGAGGGGTTCGGGGTCGTGAACGAGATCTGTCTGAAAATCTCAGCCCGGATTTGCAAGGCTGGGTCTCCTGCAACAACAGAACTTGTGCTTAGACTTTTCACCCCTGACGTTCGCAGGAAGGCTCATTTCTCTTGACATTTGGAGAATCATGGATTTATCTCGGGCGAGATCACACATCCTCTGCATAAGCGCAGCTTCGCCTGGGAGGCTTCGGAACAAGGGACCACATTATTTTGGGCTGTCGATTGGATTCTCAAAGCACAGCAACAACCTCTTTGATTAAGGCACTCAATATTGGTGTTTCCTATTCCTACCTCCACGCCACCAACCCACACTCCCGCCAGCCGGTCGAACTGTCTCCCGGCCACTTGGGCGGTCCACGTCAGCACGATCTGCGCCCAGTCGCCCCTCCCTCGGGGGTCGCACTTGGGGGACGGAGTGTACGTTCCATTGAATGTGTTGTAGTACTCTGTAAAGTAGAAGATGCACACAAGTCTTGACGGGTTCTGACTACACCTTCTTATGAGGCCGTCATATGGCTTGGGCCGTCTTTGCAGAAGCTCAAGTGTACTTGCCCAAAACAAGGCACAGCAGCTCAATATCTTCTTACGGGTGTATCTCATTCTCCCCCTCATTCTGTCAACTATAGAACTTCAGCATCACTCATTTGAACTTCTGTATTGCCAGAGTGAGGGGAAAATGCTTCTAAGCATCAGCAGGCATTCTATTTGAAGGGAGACCCAATCCTAACTCTCAGAATCATTGTTGGATTCGATTTATCTGCAATCGGCTTTCCACCCCCCGTGCGCAGGAGCCTTGGTTTCACGTCCGAAACTATCGATGCAGTGACTGAAGCTGATGTGTCATCTTACGATTGGGCTGTGAGGGGAATCTGGTGGGCGGCATAAGGGTGACGTGGCACGTGGGCTCGGGGCCGACCCGGATAAGCGGCGTAGTGATCTCAAACGCCTGCTTCGTGGGAAGAGTTTCCCCGGATCTAGAAGCTGCCTACAAATTTGCGGAACGAGAAGCAACCAATCACAAATAAAATTGGCGAGATGAGATGAGAGTCTGGTTCCAAAGCAGGATTGTCCTGCTTGCAGAACGAAAAAGCGAAAGCGTCCTACACTTCGCGGATTAAATCACGAACCCAGCTGAGTGAGAGGCATAAAGCTTACTGGTGGGCAAAAGAGATGGCCATAAGCCTTCGAGAACAGCTCTTTATTGGCATCCCCACACGCCAAAATAGCCAGATTGCTTCTCTATTTTCTCCCTTTCTCAACTTTCGATAGCATTGATGAGAGGCATACGAGGTGGCAGAAAAGGACCTTTCTTAGCCGCGGCTAGTGCTCACCTTACTGACGTGCCTACTATGCGCCTTCGCCCCACCTTTGCCCGAGACCGGGGCCTCCACCCCTGAATATTCGTTTCCCGAAGAGCCCGCTAACGTGTCTTGCGAATAGTGCCCCAAGGTATCAGTCTGACACGGCATGCGCGCTCGAGTGGTGCAGATAAAAAGCATCCCGACCGTCAGGATAAGAGCAGGAACGGAAGGCCTTTGCAACATACTGAACTGCTTAAGTCGAAAGGACGCCATGGCAGAAAAGGAGCTTTTGAAGGCGACAAAGGTGCTGATCAGGGGACGCTAGAAAAGGTGGCCCTGTCGAAGACATGAAAGAGCAGCGCGCTCACTGTCAGAGGTGCCGCAATCAGGCACGGCAGGGTGCTTTTGTCTCGTGCGTCTTGAAGTCTGAGTCTCGATGGACCTTCTTCACAACATAAGGTTGATCTGTTACGTACGATGCAAAATCACTTTAAGGACGGGTGATTAGCAGAGTAAGCTTGTTTCTGCGCGAGGGCTGTACGTTGCATTTAGAAAGAGGCCCGTGTTCCGCTAGTCATTCCCGGGCTTCGCACAAAGTGCGACCAAACAACTTAGAGCAGGCAGCCGGATGACGGCTCTTTCACTCGTTGTGAGCGGAGGCTTGCTAGAGTGTGTCTGGATTTATGAGCATTGTGGTGGACACTCAAGAGTGTGCATGGGATCGGAGACCATTGATCTAGGGTGCAGTTCAATCTTGTTCGACGAGCTTCCAAGGGTATTTCAAGGGGCTGCTTTCCTCCGATCCTCTCAGCTTTCGATGCGAATCTGTACGTGACTCATCTTATCATTGCCATCAAAGCTTCTCTGCTATGTTCAAGCACTGCTTCCGTAGTTCAGTATGAACATGGACCGCCAGGACCTGATTCCAAGGTTGTATTAGATTTAAAAGACCGGCATAAGCTGTGTCGAACATCAGTGCTTGGCTCGAACGTTTGCACCAATGTGCACACAAGGGTTCACGATGGAAACATATGACTCGTCTCTCGGTAAGATGCCGCCCATAACCCTTCCCCGAGCAGGCTTGCTGCTGCAGGCTGCCGACCGTCAGCTTTTGGGCTTAACGAGGGCGGCGCAAATTGAATGAGTATAATCATTATGGAAAATTTATTAGTCACGAGCTTGGCTACCCAAAATGACTTGCCATCAAAGCGCGCGCGCAGCTAGCGAGACCACCCGCAATCACGATTGCCTATCTGCATGTAGCTTGATGATTTCTGCCGTACATGATGACCCGGCTTGACCAGGAAAAGCAAAGCGCGTATAAGCTTGTATGCCAGACGTCAAAAACGGGTGTGCCGGGCGCCAATCGGGCGCTCCAGGAGTCTATAAATGTCGGCGTCAGTCTAATTATGAATCTGTCTTCCACTCTGGCTTCGAAAACAAAGTACAATGTTCCACTCCGCCCTCTGAGCGCAGAAGGCGGACCATTACAAGTGAGAAAGCATCTTTGTATTGCAGAGGGTGCGTTTAGTCCAACCTGGCACAAAACAAACTGGTGGTTCTGGATTGTTTCTCTCTCAAAAACAAGGAAGGCTGAACTATCGTCACCGAGTGAGCTGCAAATCGCTTGACCGTCAGGCTACTTAGCCGGTCTCCGTTCAAGAGAACTCCAGTCGGCACCAAACAACCTATAGTTTGTGCGTTCTTAGACCAACCTGAGTCGACAAATTCCGCAGCGGCAATTGGCCAGCTTGTACTGACACACAACTCAGACGCAATGGGTCGCTCGACGACATTTTTTGGTCAAAGAGAATCATCGTGATCGTCCGAGAGCGCCGACTTCGTCTCTGCCGGTAGCGCAAATGTGCCCGTACCTGCAAGCAGGTTTACACGCTTGTTCAACCGATCGCCTGGATTGCCAGACCATCCTGCAACCAAGGGCTCCGCAAAAGCCAGCTCATATTCTTCATAGCGTTTCCAACTGAAATACTACATGAAAGATGTCGCATCTTCTCAGCAGAGTATCGATCAAGCCAAAACCCGGATTGGCCGGCAAGCCAACTCCAAGTAGTGCCGGAATTTACCTTGGGCGATGATAGGATGCAGACCGTAGGTTGCGCCTTTTCCGGTCGAGATGCGCCTACAGAGCAATAGCCTGCAAAGGGCCAAGCGAAGCCAGCTCATCAGCGGTCTAAGCAGGTGCGATGTGAACAGACCTTCAAAACATTTATTAAGAATCGCTTTTTTCTCTCTCCACTGTGTGCATAGATGACGAATCTCCCAACAGTCCCGAAGTCCTGGCTTTGATGCCCTTTTCATTGCATGGAGTAAGGGTCGTCCTATAGTAGTACGACGGGCGTTCTGCAAATGCTTTCAGTTTCTGAGAGAAGCACTTCAAGCGATTCGTGACAAGCCTGCCCGTATGCTCAATGCGACAAAAAGGATGGAGACGCGCTGTATGCTAAGAGAAGCACGCGTGCACCAAAACGAGCCACCTCTGATGCGGCTAACGTACCTTGCCAGCCTCCTGGAGTGAGCGCTGATTTACGCAGTTCCCCCAGATGCATTCCTTGCTCCGGCTTGACCAGGGGCTGCCGTGCTAAGAACCGTAAACTTCGACTGCAACAAACAGATCTCGAGCTGCCGCTCCTCTAAGAGCCGCTCCAGCCGTATGCTCTGCACAGTATGAAACAGCAGCAGTTGGAATAAGAACACAAGAATGAAAAGGAAGGAAGGGGTCAAATACTGAGAGGAGGAGAGGGGCTGAGGCGAGCGACAGGAGAAGGACTTCTTCACACTGCCGCCATCCAGTCGCGCAAGTGATTTCCTGTACATCCTAATCCGCTCCCTTTCTGGCTCCCTTTCCGCTTCTCCCTTTCCGTTCGGCCGTAACGTTCCTATTTAGATAATAAGAGTTCACAACCATTACATTCTGAAACGCAAAAGCGCTAGAAGCCAAAGGATTTGCAATCCTGCAAGCGGAGGGGTTCAGAATCTCTCTCACCTTCTCGATAGCCTGAGCCGCTTCCTCCCTCGCATCTTTCCGCCCCCGTTCTGCCTCCTCTGCAGCGTTCCGCCAGAACTCCGCCTCCCGAGCGGAACGTACCAGCTCGCACTGCAGTTCGTCGCAGAGGGCGCGCAGCTGGAGGAACCCACTCTCCAGAACGGAAGCCTTGTGCTGAGCGGAAGCGCACTCTTCAGCGGCTCTCCTCACCTCGTTTGCCTGCGCGGATACGGTAAAAGCGTCAAATTAAGTTCAAGCTTTCTTGTTTCCTGCTTTCCGGCTGAATCCGTCTTCGTGCACAACGGCCTCCTGATGGACGAAGCGCACTTTCTGACAGATTGCGTGCCTCGATTTTCTGCATCGAAATGCGAAAGGCGATCTGTCGGGGCGTGTGAGCCTCTAAACACGTGGCATATGCGCACGTGCAGGTGTCGTGGCAGAAGGGTGTCAAAAGCAGTAACGTCCGTACGAGACCCGTCAACTGGAAAGGGCACGGCGCCTAGCTTCGACTATTGCTTAAGCATACCTGCAGTTCGATCATCTCGGCATAGCTCTCGAGCTCCATTCCATTCATGCGGACCGTTCCGCCGTCAATCCGCTCGAGGTGGGTGAGTTTCACCAGGCTCTGCTGCAGCTGCGACGCCGTGTGATTGGCCCACCGGGACTGCCGGACGAGTTCCTCCTCAGACGCCGCGAGGCCCCTTTCCAAGACGGCGTTCCGCTCCTGCACCGGAAGTACACATTGGAATGAATATCAGTTTACTCAAAGTCATATTCCTTCTTCGGAGGCGGCGAGGCTTTTGGTTTAAGACGACGTTCCGCTCCTAGACCGGAAAACCACACGACGGAACGAGTCTCAGCTCGTCGACTGAATCGCTTGGCGCTCATCCCCGCGACAAAGGACCGGCGTAGTAAAAAGATGGACTCGGGGAACAAACGGCTTGCCCGGTCCCCTTGTCAGCTCCGTCCGTGCGCAGACCGGGTATCTGATCAGTGGCACATCTGTCTCAGATCAATCCCCCGGCTACGCTTCTCTGGGCACCAGAACTCCCGTATTAAGTGGAGATCTTTGAAGTCACACACTCTTTAAGCATCTTGCAAGCACCTCAGAGACTTGCGAGGTCGGGTTGGGGAGTCCCCTTAACCACACACTTACCCGGCGGGGTAAAGCAAGGCTCCGACATCAATAATGCTGAATCCAAGCTAGAACCAGTGACCGTCTAGTGTGCAAATGTAGATGCATCCAAGAAACGGCGGAATCTGCCGGCAACCCGATTCGCAGTCCTTCCGGAAAATGCATCAGCAGAATCTACACAACGACTGCAGGCTTAGAACGCACTTCGATCGCCGCTTGACTTACCTCGTGCTTGCACCGCCTTTTTTGGCGATTGTGTGGTTCAAAGCCCTCACCTTCAACGCCTGCACCACGGCGCGAGCTTGCTCCAGCTGCTCTTCCAAGGAGATCCTGCCCCGGTCCTTCTCCTGCATCACCAGCTCCTGCGTCAGCGCCTCCTCCTGGAGCAGCTCCTCCACCTGCAAGGGCGCATAAAGTGACGTCAGCATTTAAAGAATGACGTCAGCATTACGAAAATGACGTCAGCAACAGGTTCAACTGCTTGGCCTCAGTCTTCCAGGCCAGCTCCTCTGTCAGCGCTTCCTTATGGAGCAGCTCCCCTAGCTGAAGAAACAGAATCGACGACGTCAGCATTCAGCCTTGATGCCAGCAAGGCGTTCAAAATCTAAAAGGAACTCTATTAGCGCCTCCTCCTCTTCTTCCTGGAGCACCTCCTCTCTTAAGAGGACGAAGAACGGCGACGTCGGCATCCAGAAAAGAGACGTCAGTAACAAGCTGCATTGCTTCGCCTGTTCCCTTCCGGACCAGCTCCTGCGTCAGCGGCCTCTCTCGGGCGGCTCTCTTTCTAGGGGAAACACCGGAAGGAATGACGTCGCCATGCGTCAGCAACCGGTGGATGTTTTAGGGAAACGTGTGGTCTGTATCTCGGATCCTCAAGTATTCCAATCACGTAAAGCACCGTCTGTGAAGGCTTCTTGACCAGTCAGAGAACTCTTATTGGAGTACGCGACATCACGATGTCAATGTAGTTTCAGCTTAATGTCTTCATGTGAGAAGTGCTAACGACTGCGCCTGGTGCAGGAGTCACGATGTGCAACTTTTTAACCAGATTTCCTCAAATTGTCCTTCTCACACGGCAGGACTACGAAGTATGGACGACAGCCAATATGCAACGCGGGCATTACCTTGATTCCCAGAGATATGTACTTGGTTCTCGCTTCTCTGCACTCGTCATCTGCCTCCAAGAGCTGCGATTCGAGCTCTCTGACCCGAGCCTTCAGCGCCTGCTTGCGAACTTGGAGCTTTGTTATCCTCGCCTCGTGATCCGCGTCCTGCTAAAATTATGGAAGATAAGAATTGAGGATTCGAAGGTTTGAGGATTTGAGGGTTTAGAATGCAGAAACCGTCTGGAGCTCTGAAATCTTCGCCTCGTGATCCGCGTTCTGGGGGAAAGAGAAAGAAAAGGCTGAGGCTTAAAAGGGTTCGAGGCGCAGGAACCGGTTGTACAGCTCGCAGTAATACCTCAGAGTACCACAACGGAGCTGTATAGCCTAGGCCAGGCGGCGGCGTCAGAAAGTTTGAAGCACCTGTTCTAAGAATAGACCCGTCTAGCGACCCTGTCGGGCGGTTCGAGCGCAAACTCTGAATATCTGGACACGGGAACCGGGTCAAGGTAGCCAACGGCAAAAATCTAGGCGCGTACGAGAGCTGACGAGCGCGTTCACAAAATTGCGGCTCTTGCCACGTTTCAGAGAAAGTAAACGGCCCGAAGAGCTGTTGGAAAACGAAGCGGTTTCCTTGTGGTTTTCACACATAACTAACCGTCGGCCCGTCTCTGACTTCGTCCTCTCTACCACCTCTGTCGAATGATGAAAGAAGCCGTCTGAAGTCTATGCTCACCTCTTGCAAGTCAGGCCCAACCCCGGCCCTCAGCGCGTCCACTTTCAGCCCCAAGCTTTTCACTTTCTTCAGCAGCTTTGCGTTTGCTGCGCTCAGCCCTTCATTCTCTTCCTCAATGTTTCTGAGCCGCAACTCTGAGTCTTTGTCTTGTCTTGACAATTCGGACAGTTTCTTCTGGCATCTTTTGAGCTCCTGTTCCAGAGCATCGTTTGCTGCTTGCGCGGCAGTAAGCTGATCAGAAGCTGATGCTCGAGCATCCTCAGATTCCTGCAGGCTTTCTAGTCGTAGTCGCGCATCTTCGTTTTCTTGATGAAGGCGATCCACTTCCTGCAGTGGTACGAAAAAGGTAACTTCGAAAAAGCTGTCTTTCTGACGATGACCTAGGTCTGCTAACTTGGGTGCGGAAGCTGTAATCAACTTCAGCTTTCATCGCAGGCTCTAGATTTTTAAGTACAAGTAGCAACTTTCCGGTGTGCCCTTAATATCTGCTGGACCCGTCTTTGTTGAAAATGTACAGAGGAAGGAAAGGTGGCATCTTCAGAGGCCAAAAAGATGGAATTTCAGAGGCCAAGAAGATGGAGTTTCTTCAGAGGATGGAAAGTAGCAACTAGCTTATTTTGAGGAAGTCCTTGGCATGGCAGTAAAGTATGATGTAGAAACGGCACTACTTGAAACTCAATGGAAGTTGATTGAACATGCAGCAGCAGTTACGTAGCGACCCCAGGATTACCTCGACTGATCAGAAAGTGTGTGTTGCAAAGGAAAGTCAGCAGAGCCTTGAGGAGTTCGAGCATCCAGCAGGCAGATTCTGGGGCCGTGTCCGATTTTTATGCTGCTCCCGAAAAACGGCTAAGCTCATTTTCTCACCTTTTGCAACTCGATACATGTGCCCTCTGCGGCTTTTCGTTTCTTCCTTTCATCTCGCACCTCAGTATTCAACCTCACCACTTCCTGGCTGATCCCTTCTTCCTGACTCTTGCTTGCGTCCTTCATCATTTGGACAACCATTTGCATCTCCTCAAGTGAACCCCTAAGCTCCTCCACCTCTGCTTTGGCCTCATCGGCCTCTTGCCTCGACACATCAGCTGCCTGATTTGCAAGCTCAGCTTCTTTTTTAAGCAAACAGGCCTGGCTTCTGCTTTCGTCTACAGCTTTCTGCAGAGCCGCCGCTGCTTGGTGGGCAGCTTCGGAGGATCTGTGAGCCGCAGCTGACTCATCTTGAAGCCTGATCACTTCGCTTGCAAGATCAGTGCGCCCTACTTCGGTTGTTTGACTGATGGTGCCTCTTCTAAGAAGCGAGGCAGTTGCTTTTGCCCGTTGCTCCTCACCCACAAAAGATGGATCTACGCTGTGGCCTTCAACACTGCCAGCTCTCTGAGAGTCAGAAAAGGTATCAGTTCTTTCTCCAGTATGAAGCTTCGTGTTGTCCCTTGAGGTGGACTTAACTGGAACGCTCCGTTCTGTATCTCTCTCTGCTGGCATTACTCTCACAAGCTGTGCACCACCAGTGGCAGAGCCATTCTCTTCTCCTTCGTCTCTCTCAGTGTCCAATGAAACGGCTATCTTATGTACGTTGACAGCAGACAGACCGTCAAAGAAAGATGGCTTTGCGCTGATTGAATGCATTGACAGGGGGCTGGTGGCACCGCCTGTGACTTTCCTCTCTGCAGCATGCTTGACCACTGAGACAGGCAATCCAAATTGCGGTGAGCGAGATGAGCGCCGCTTGAGCAGGCCACTAGGGCTTCTATGCTTGTGCCCCTCTAATGCTGAGAGTTCGTCCAGGATCTCCCGAGCCCGGCCCTGCAATGAGAAACCTGACTTTTGAGAGCGTCTGAACAAGACTTTCCTTTCAGATGATGATTCAAGGGTGAAGCAGTGTCACCAAGAGACAAGCAAGCCCCACTTTTTGAAAAGCTGGAGTCAATTCAGAAGCTCGATTTACAGGGAGGAGACACGGTGCTTTTATTAGGAAGGTGGCAAAGACTGCATTGATGCGGTCTTAGAGCTACCTACACACCTGTTGTTCAGCTCTCTCCAAGTGTCTGCTTGCAAGCCCCTTCTAGGTCAAAAACAGCAAGAGTACAGAACGTCTTGAGGAGCAGGTCGTCTTAAGAAGGTAAGATTATCGTGCTTTGCAGGGAAATGAGGGCAGTACCCTTACCTTTGGCGGTGTGCCACTTGCAAGGGATGGCATAGTGACAACAAAAAGTGATCTGCTGCAATCCTAGAGAACATAGAGCTACTTGTCCGAAAAACATTCGCTGATGGGTCTGTTGATCAGCTTCAGACGTTGAAACAAGCAGCTCCAAAGCCACAGATCCATTGTGCAAGGCGAAGCGCTGATCGGGCTTCCTCCGTAGCATCGAAAGAGCTCCACAACATGCTGTTCAAAGCATAGAAAGGGGCTTGCACTTCTCGCTGCCAGCTCTTGGACCAGTGAATCTGAAGCTTTCCATCAAGAATTGCTCACGATTCGGATCAGCACAGCCGGGTTCACCATCTGATGAATGGCATTATTTTGACGGCCCAGATTGCGCGCGCGTGCCGAACGGCATATCAAGGGCGTCAATAGCAACCGGCACGTCTCTCCGGAGGCAAGAACCGTCAATGTGCCGGTAAGTTGGACCATGTACCGCAGAGGAATTCTGGGCCGAGACCCCCTGCTGGATGTCGAGCGCGGAAGTGAATCGGTCCGGGTGCCGAGAGTGTCGATTTAGGGCCCCGGGGCGGTCGAGGGGGTTAACAATCCGACCCGTCTCACGGAAAAAACCA